GCTTACAATTGAAAATGTATTATAATTTATATCTGGGATTTTCTACTTAATATTTTCAGAACATAGTCAATTGCACGTAACTGAATCCATGGAAAGCAAAAGTGTGAATAAAAAAGGGATTACTACATAAAGTTTTTTTTTAATTGAGGTGATAGTTTGTGTACGTCACTATTAGATATTCTTACTCTTGGTTCAAAAAATATGTGACCTGTTATGGTTTTCATTTAACAGTGTGATAATGGTTTTTCTTTCACAGTATGATACTGATGTTGGGACAGATCAGATTACATATACAATAATTCCTTTAGTGGCACTTAGATACACTGAGAAAACAACACATAGTTCCTTAGGAAACAGAATGGGTAATTTATTGAAAAAGAGTTCAATTTAAGTACTCAAACAGAATTAGATTGTTATAATTTGGCTTGCATAGCAATATTCAAATACATAGAAGAAATACATGTTCCTCTAAAAGATAAATCTACAATAATTTCCCTAAATAAAGAATTGTTCTAAATAGGTATAAATTCCCTTTTCTATGTCTAAAAAATTATTACTGGTGATATTAATTTTATATTCAACATATCCTAAGTGTTCTTACTAGTATATTACTCTAGCACCATGAAATTACTCTAGCACCTCCAAGTATGTCTGCTGTGCTGTTAGTTGTGAGAAACGTGTGCTCTGTGGTATTGACAGACCACCAGGCCTATTAGGAAGCTGAGCTTCTTGACTAATGCATGTGTAGACTTTGGCCATGTGACTGCATCAGAGCAGTTTTGTTGCCAGCCCTTTTGTAAACTGCTGTAAACAGGCATGGCCTCTTCTGTTTCATCTCCTGCCCAGTATATGAGTTTTATCAACACAACCTAGGAGGAAGAAAAAACACAATCCTGGGAGATTGTTTACATATCAGTTAAGTTGCTCAGCAAAAAATAAAGCAAACCAGTGCTGTTATTGCCTGAGACTTTTCTTAGAACAGTTTTATTGTCCACTTTTCACAAAATAAGGCCCAGAAGCTTTTATTTACTTAGCCTTCCCTGTCTCTTGCCCTATGCCTGTCTCCATACTAGGAGAATACTTGCTTCTTCAAATGCTGGTCCTGAGAAGGTCAAAAAGAATGGGCTGTGTGTCTTCTCTCTTGTGATGAGAAGAGAAAGGAGAGGATGGGTGTGTGCAGCGCCAGGAGGTGATCAACATATGACATGGCCAGGGAGCCTGGCTTTGAATTCCTGTTCGGACACTTACTGTGTGACCTTAGCATCTGCTAGTTTTTCTATGCCTTAGTTTTTTCCTTTGTCAATTGGGGGTAATAACAATAACCTGCCTGAGAGTTGGTGTGAGAATTAAGAAAATATTACCCAAAAAGTACAGTATAATCTATATAATGGCTAAGAATTTACACTGTGGAGTCAGACTACCTGGGTTTGAATCCTTGCTCCATTAAGCAGTTCTTTCTATTAAAAAACAAAAAACAAAAACACTACCTATTATCATTAGAATAAAATACCTGTTGGGATTTTTTAAAGAATTACATTAATTAGAGTATGTAAAATACTTAGGCCAGTGTCTGGCACCTAGTGAACATTATTTTAGTAGTAATTTTTATTAAAAGACTTACATCAAATGCGATACAGAACGCATACTCAAGAAATAGTTGCTACTCTATAGGGATTTCCTGTTTTCCAACAAGATTAGTTTGAAATAGTATTTGTAGAAAGCACGGACACTAGCTAACTGAAGTCACTTCATGAGGTTACTGGCAGCATTAGGTGCTGTTTTCTGTTTGGTGCACTGTTGAGCAGCCCAGGTACATGCCTTCCTCCAACAGTGGTTACCTGCCTAAGTTCAAACCTAGATGGAATGGGTGGTGTAATTCATTCAAGGCTGTAGTTTTGTTAGGCAGATTCAACTAAGGGAATGAAATTATAGGTTCTCGAACGTAAACTGGGTAGAAAGGAAAGATAGGTAAGATTCAGAGATAGGGAAGTAAAGATCTGTGTTTGTAGGTTCCAGTAAGGTCTAATAAGTCTGTTAGTAGGGATATTTGAGCAAGCAAACTGAAAATACAGTACAGTCTGTTTAACGAATCAAGTTCTTGATTTAGTCACCTTAGTGGGGGAAGTTTTAGGTAGTGACATCAGCAAGTTAAAATATTTATCTTAAAAATCTAAAGGCTGGATTTTGGAGCGCAGACAGGTAATTGTTTACAGTATATCTATCAGAATTCTCATACCTGAAATTTATGAAGAAGTCCTACAAAGCCTAAGGAAAAAGATTGGCAGGGGTATTTCACAAAATGTCCAATAAACTGAATTTTAATTCCAACTGGAAAAATGCAAATCAAAGCTACAGTATGATGTCACTGCCTGCCACCAAAATGGTTAAGATGAAACATGACAATGCTAAGAGTAACTAAAACTCTTATACAAAGATGATGTACATAGTACAACCTCTTTGGAAAATTGGCATTGTTATTAAGACTGATCACGAACATATCCCAGAAAATCCACTCCCATATATATAAAATCTCACCAATACAAATTTGTGTGTACCAAAAATGCATAAACAAGAATGTTCACATTATTCTTATGAGCCAAAAACTGAATACAGAGCTCATAAATTCTGGATGTTTACACAATGAGGTACTAATAGATTAAATTACAAGAATATGCATATACATGTTTCAAATATAAAGTGTGAAAGAAGCCAGACCCAAAAGAGTATATACTGGGATGATTCCATTTGTTAAAATTAAAAGACACCACAACCAACCTGTGGCGTTAAGTTAGGACAGTGATGGCTAGGAGCTGGAGTGCCCCCTGGGATGCTCCTAGAGTCCTGTTTCTTGATCTAATTTGGTGGTTACATGGGTGTATTTCTTTGTGAAAAATTCACTCTGCTTTGTGCTTAGGATTTGTGTTTTTCTGTCTGTTAAATTTCCATTTTAAAGTATATTAAGTCAAAAGGCTTGAGAATTTGGGAAATGATAATTTACTTTTTCTATTTGCCTGATCTCCCTAGAATTAATAATTTCATTTTTTTAAATACAATTGTTCACTACAAACCAGAAAACTAACCAGTTTGGCTTCCAGCCCTCTTAAATTATGTCCTCATGACAGCAGAGAATTCTCAAGAGCAACAACTAAGCACCTTCGGCAGTATACTTTAAAGTAATGATTAGTTTGTATTGATCCTGCCACTTCATTTACACCATGACAGGTTACATGGACCACATCCATAAGTTATATATAAAACTGTAATTTGGAGCTTTGTGGAATCAGTCTTTGTAACTTTTCTCAAAGTGATGCATTGTCATCCCACAGATCAGATCTGGTGCTTTTAAAGTTTAATTGAAGAAAGAGTTTTGTGTGATCCAGCTGTGAGGCAAGTTTGATGGTGCTTGAATGAGCATTAGTTGCAATTGATGCTTACTGCTTTGACTGCATGATGGTGCCCGTGACGCTGTTGTAGTGACTTAGTGAGTTTCAGCTTTGGATGGAATTTGTTTTGTTTAGTCTGCATTGTGCTCCAATTGATGATTGAAAACTTTACACTTTGGCAGAACATTGCTTCATAGCTCTTCCCTTTTCTGCTATTTTTATATCACATAAATCATTGCACATTTAAACCATCTGCAAGGCCTGAATGGAATGAGATAAAAAGCTGCCATCTCTTAGACTGACACTTGAAAAGCTATTATTCACTTGGAGTTTATTCTTGATTATCCTTTATATTTTAAAGTTTCGAGCTTCATTTCAAGATTGTTGCTAACATCTTTGAGCCAGAAGTATCTCTGATTCAGTTTCTTTTAGCCTGAATATTGGGCCAAAGGGAGGAGATTCATCCTGTGTCACCCAGAAGAATCTGCTAGAGACTCCATTCTCTCTCAATTAAGATAATAAGAACAGCAAGTTCTACTCCTGTTTTAAAAGTATGTTGGTTTAATCAGCTCAACAGCTGTCCAGTTTGGCATGCACCTTCTAGGGAATAGTAAAAACATAAGGTTCTTAAATTACCAGATGAGTACTTCAAAATAAATGTCTTTTTGCTTGCCTAGAACATGTCATACCTGTTAGGTATATGTGAAAAGTGTTTCTCAACATAGCAACTTTTTTGACAGTTTAGTGAAGGGGGAAAAAAAAACACATGGCCTGGGATGTTGCAAATAAGACTGATGATTAAAAATATATACCCATACATAGCCTTTCGTTATAGATATGTGGAAGGCTAGCATTTGTATGCTGGGTAATAGATTAGCCAGGCTTCCGTAAATAAAACCTTTTCCAACAGTTAAACCCACTGAATGCAACTTTTCCAAAGGCCACAAAAAGAGGGAGTCTCTTGAACTGAAGTTAGCTGGAATTGTATAAATGAGGAAGGAAAGTACAGATTCATTTCAAGATGAAAAGTTGCTTCAGTCTTTGGGCAAATTGAGTATTAGCACTGTTTCCCCTCTTTATAAATAATATTATAATACTGTGACAACTGAGTAGTCTTAAACTCTGAAACTCTAATAGAGGGTATGAAATATAAAAATATTGCCTAATTTCATTTCTTTGAGAGCCTGAGATGATAGACCAAAAGATGCAGTGACCTACACAACTGAGTACATTGGACTCTATTTTCAAAACAGAAAGGTCTCCAAAATAGAAAGCTGTACTAAGAATCTTAAGAGTAAAGTCACTATTTTTACATATTCCATTTATCCTAATAAATCTCCAAGGGATCTCAGGCAAGTCATTGTTTCTTGTCTGTTTCTCCCCATTTTCCTGCTGTACTGTAAATATTCAGAAGACCTCAAGTTTTTATTTGTAGATTATAGTGTCTTGAACATAGGTCATACCTTTGAGATTTTTTTTTCTTTGAAGTGAGAATTATTTTTACTTACAGATAAAACTGGGAATGATTACAGTAGAAGGAGGGGCTTTTCGTAATTTTATGTAATTCATATGAATTGTGCTTATTTTTCATTTAGTGTCCTTAACCTCTTTATTCAGCAGACAGAAGGTGGAGCACAGACAGATGGCCAGCAATCACAGACACAAAGTAATGAGAATTCTGAGAGTAAATCTACCCCTAAACGACTGCATGTCTCTAATATTCCTTTTCGTTTCCGGGACCCTGACCTCCGGCAAATGTTTGGGGTAAGTCTCCTAAGTTTTTATGGATTTTACCCTTAAAATAGGATTTAACCCTGTAACTGTGTTATTTGTCTACTCTAAACATTCACCTGGCAGGTCACACAGGTGACTGTGCACATGGACTAGCCCTCGCATGATTGCTAGGACTGAGACTTTCAGGGCTAAGATCAGGATGAGAGGGCTGCCCTACTCGCACACCAGCCTTAGTACATATATCAATAATATGCTTAGATTTACCTAAATGAACAAGACATTGTTTTAATGCAGTGACTCCTAAACTTGTCTGCATTTTGAAAATCCCCTGAGAAGCTTAAAAAGTTCTGATGCCTGTGTCCCATACCCAGAGGTTATGATTTTATTGGCCTAGGCAATTTTATAAGATCCCCAGGTGATTCTAATGTGTAGATAAGTTTAGGAGCCATTGCTCATTCACCCCATAACATTTTTTTGCCTTTAGGTAACCCTAGCACATTATTGCCTTTCTCTCATCATATGCTGTCAGACACCGACTGTTCTGTGTCAGGAATACATTATTGCTGCTCTATTCCATCTTTGCAGTCTCAGAAGACATTTTCTGTGTAGAGAATATGAGTGTAAAAGTGGCTCATTAAAGTAGAAAGGGTGTGGATTTTGACATCAAAGACCTTGGGACTGAATTCTATGTGGTCATGACTCAGGGAAACTCACATAACCTCTTCCAACTTGAATCTCATCTAAGTATAGGAATAGCAACCTCTGTCTTTCAGTTACAAGTTAAATGGAATAATGTCAATAAAAGTAAATAGTGCCTCTTTTATTTTTACTTCCTTGCTCATACTTAGTAATGTCAAGACCAATATCTAAGGAAAGTGTAGAGGGTTAGTTTCCTGTCTCTGATGTTGTCCTTGAGTTCTTTACCTCCTCCTGAAGTCACCATCGTGAAAGCAAAGTGTAGTAATAGAAAAATTTATGTTGTTGCAAGTGAATGGCTGCTAGAAATCTTAATTTTTTTCTGATCCTGAATGCTGTTGCCTGTTTTAATTTGACCAAACGCTTGACTTGACCTAGGACCAAGAGAGATAATCATTGGTTTTATAAAATTTTCATTAGGATAGGTGCCCAGTGCCTTGCTTAAAAACCAGGTTCCCCTTTTTAAGTCTTTGCTGTGGCCATTTCGTGGCATCAAGACATTGGACCAAAGCACTGTCACTTGGAGCTGATTACCTGGCCGTATTTTTCCTCCTGAAAAGAAAGCCAGAGTTGAGATCTTTTGAGAATTTTTATTAGTATATGTTTGCAGTCCACAATGTTTACATTTGTCATGCAGGGTTGATACATGTACATAACACATCTTAACTATTTTTACTTCCCCCTCCTCTGCCCCCCTTCCTCCTCCCTCCCGAACTGAGATTGAATGATGTTCTGGCAGTACTTGGAGAGCTTTTACATAGAAATGGTAACCATTTGCTCTCCATCTTTACAGAAAGAGAGCAACCAAAACTAGAAGGGACAGCTAAAGGACTTAGTTTACATATAAGAAGATTCTTCCCAGCACCATGACTTACTAGGTTCTCTTCTGAATCATCAGAGACAATGAGGACTCAGTCTTTGGAGTACATTCTTATCTGTCAGAGATGTGTTTTCTCTTGAAACAGGAAAATAGTGTCCTAGGCCTGTCAGTGATTTCTTGAAATGTATTGTGTCCTTCCCATAAGGCAGAAAATGAAAAAGAAATAATTTTCCTCTAGTAAGGGACACCTCATTCCTCTGTTTTCTTCTGTTTGGCTAATGGCTACTAGCCACTGGTAAACAGCAGAGATTCCAGGCTCCATTTTATTAGCTCTGTAAACTTGACAAATAGCTTGTATCAGCCTCAATTTCCTTAACCGTAAAAGGAAGACAAACTTTCCTTCAGAAAGATCATATAAGAATGCAGTATGAAATATAAAATAAAACAAAGTCTAAACTACCACACGTCTTAGTTTTATACAGTAGGTATAGAAATAAAACTAAATGCTCTCCTATCTAAAATAAAACATTTTCATCCTTAATTCCAGCTTTCTATTAAATAAAACAGGAATCAAACCTACTTGTGTTATTCTAGAAAAGTTGGGTTCTTAGTGTATGTTCTTTTGGTAAAGATAGTAATAATTCAGTCTAGTGGAAAAGCATGATTTCTGTTTCCTGTTTTCATTTTTCACTTTTTTAGTGGTTTTTTTTCCCTCTCACATTCCCAAAGTCTAGTTTAAAATAAATAATGGAGTTTGAGGCCAGTTACCCAGAGATTTCCTGCTCATGCCTTCAATTCAGTTCATCCAGTTCTTGTCCAGGGGAAGAAGTGCATAAGGCCACACTGTGAAGGCCTTTGGACAGTGGCTTTTATACACAGAAGTGGATGACACACGGATGAGTGAATTCAGAAAGGAGTGAAAACAGACACTCTCAGCTCTGTGATGGGGGAAAAATCAGAAGCAAATAGAAACATGAAATTAAATAGGCACTAGTAGCAATTCCCTTTTCAGAAGAAAGTAAAATAGATTCAAAAGAAGCTGACCATAAGTCAATGTTTTTATTTTTGTCTCTGCAGCAGTTTGGCAAAATCCTAGATGTAGAAATAATCTTTAATGAGCGTGGCTCTAAGGTAAGTTCTGTTTCAATACCAAGTGTGTGTGGTTTTTATTGTTTTGTGGGGTTTTTTTTTTAGTTTTGTTTTATTTTAAACAGCGATTGTTCAGAATGTATAAACAGTTTTGCAAGCCTGGCATAAAAGTATCCTAAGTATCCATCTTGGGTTAGATTATCTCTAAAAATAATCCAATGGCTAGACTTTATCCTAATACTTAAATCCAGAGGGTAATGGGGGAAAAAAGTTGGAGGGGAGTGTGGCAGCAGACAGGGTGTAGGAGGTGGTAGTCCTGATTAGTCTGAAGTTTGCCCAGTGAGTGTGAACTTTCAGTGATAAACATGTGCCCGCTGCAGCACATGTGCATAGGTTGCCACCACTAGCCTAGACTTTCTTAACTTTAAGGAAAAAAGAAGAAACTGAAAAAGTAAAATTCTGTGGTCCGAATTCTGTCAGGACAATTCAGTTTTCTAAAACCAAACTTCAAAGTAGCATACTTGGAAAAAATGCAGTGTTCAGTTATTGAATCTAATGTTCTCTCTTGGAATATGTTTTGCTAAGGTGGCTTATCCACAGGAATTCTCCAGGAGCAGTGAGTTAACTTTTTAAAGAGCTGAGATTTTTTTTTTCATTGTAATGACTTTCCCTATTAATTAGCATTGTTAAAATTTAATTTTGATTTGGCCATCTCTGCTAAACTTTGAAAACAGTTCTCGGTTATGATTTAATCTCTTAAAAATGTGATTTGAGGAAAAGCTAAAATAAAGCCAGTAAAGGACTTAATATTTACCTGTCTTCAATTTTCTACTCCACATTGACCGTGCTTTGGGAAGTGATAATATTTATATACCTCCTGCTGCCATCTATTTGTACTAATACCAATGTACAGTTCTGTTCTAATGCTCCTGATTATTATTCCCTTCCTTTATAGAATGTATCAACACTAAAAGTATTTAATTCTGATTGTAACAATTATTTAATAATGAGGTTATTATATACTCTATGCTTCAAGTTTTCATTAAAACAAAAAAGATTAATATGTCTATACAGAGCTTTCCCCAGCAGTTAACCTGGTAAGTATTTTTAAAGTGAAATTTATTAACTGCAACCAGTAGAGCTATTTATGTTTGTTATTTTGTCACAATTGATTTCTAATCTTCATTCTATAATTTGCAGTTATTTTTGTGAAGTTTTTAGCTACTAGGTAGGAAAATGACTGTGGTTTAGAGGTGGGAAACAAAATGTAAAATAAGTATGTGAAGGTTATTGACCACACTGTTTATCTAAAGTACTCTTTAGACATTTTTGGTTTTAAGTGTATGCACTTAAAGTAGTCTTACCTCTAAAAACCAGAAGCCCAGGACAGTTTCTTCAGGCATTGAGGACTTACTCCTTACCATTTGATCGAACTATTGTGAAGCAAAGGAAATTGATCTTTCTTAAGGTTTCCTTCATTGACTTCAAGGATTTACCTGTTACCAAATTTTCTAAAAATTTACCTGACCCAATTCCTTCTCCCACATAATTTTCATTTTAAAATAATGTCACACGCCTTCCTTTTCCCTTTGGGAAATTTAAAGGCATATGCTGCTTTCCTTCCCTCTGTTTGGTGTCCTCATTGCCCCTTCTTTCTTTGGGCTGCTAAACGGCAGATAGACAGAGTACTGTACTAAGTAAGGTAGTAAGTGTATTAAAAGCAGAGCACAGAATTCAGGATTGCCCTGTACATCTCTGCCTTTAAGGACTGGGAGAAAACCTTATTTTCGTCCTTTGCCATCTGGCTGTTACTTAAAGTCTTTTTTTCTGGAGTGTGTTCCCCAGAACTGTTCTGAGGCTGCTAAGAGAGATTATTTTCCAGTCATACCCAAACATGCCTCCTCTGGGATCCACCTAAGAGAAATTAATGGGCACTTTTCTTTTTTGAATTATGTTTCTCATTACTTTTGTATGTTTGAGGTAGACCGTCAAATTACAGCATGTCTTACACCAGACAAAACAAGACTTTATGTGGTCTTACTGTTTTGGATAAGAGTTGCTCTGACTTGAGTGTTTTTCTGTCCAAAAATTCACTTTATTGAATTTTTTGAAACATTAACAGAAGAACAAGTCACAAAACAAGTCTGAAATAAGCCATACTTACAAGTAAATGAAAGTTAAATTACTCCAAAACAACAACAAAAAAAGCTCTTTACCATTTCTTATTTTTTACAATAAAACCATCCAGGGTTCTAGAATATAACCAATTGAAAACATAAGAAAACACTGTACACTGCCACACCCACATTTCTCTACCTGCCACTATTCCACCTTTTCTAGCTCTTGGTAGTAGAGTTACTGTGCTCCATAAGGAAGTTATTTCCTTGATTTTTGACTATTCTCCTTTTTTAAACAATTGATTTTCAAATTCTGGATTTGGCTTTCCTAGACTGTGTAATATGTCAATTATTTGATTTAATTTTGTTAGTCATCTTTGTTCTTTCTTAAAAACAAAGTCAGCTGTATCTAATTACTATGAGTAACTAAACATCACATTTTGAAAATATGTAATTAGGAGATATGATCGGATATGGTACTTCTTCAAAAAATTGTTTACTTAGACTAGAAAAGTATCATATCAATGTATATAGATTTATTGATTCTCCAAATTTCACTCATAATGATAATAGAAACACAGTTAATAAGATAATGCGTAGAGTGGCCCTATGTCCTGCTTTATTAAGGATAACCCCAGGTTATACCTATTGTCTGATCATAGTTATCAATAATGTAACCTTTCTTCTTCAAAATATCCCAGTTTGACCAATAAACTGTTACATTCTTTATAAACCCTTTGAGTAACAACTGAAAAGCATCCTTTTAGAAGGAATTCATGACCCTTAATGAAAAGTAGAGAGGAAAGCATTTGTAGTTCATGTAAGAGACTCTTCACTGGTGATGTTCTCAGGTTATGTTCTTCTTGTCTTTTTGTTTCACATAGAATCTTAAACACAAGCCAGGCATGGTGGCACATACCTGTAATCCCAGCACTTGGGAGGCTGAGGCAGGAGTAGCGCCATGAGTTTGAGGCCAGCCTGGGCTACGTATTGAGACCCTGTCTCAAAAAACAAGGTTTAAAAAAAAAAAAAAAAAAAAAGGATCCTTGACCTTATCAGCATCTTTCAGTGTTTAAGAACTTTTTACTTTTCAGAAAGTTTTTCATGATAATTATCCAAGTTTATTTTTACAATTACAGATTATAATATTCCTATAGTCCATGAGGTTTTGTCAAAATGCTTGTAGTGTAGTTGTCCCTTGAAGGCACAAAATGATCACACACTGAGTGTGTGGGAGCTTGTCACCTCTTCACACAGTAGTGCCTGTCAGGGCCACTGCACAGGAGATCAGGAACTGAGGTCTCCTGCAAGCTCTGGCGAGTGTGTGCCTATTATTTCTCCAGGGTGGGTCTAATGAGAGGATCTTGGACTAGGACAGGCTGGAGTTAGGGAAGGTAAGACTTCTCTTCCCAGTCCTGAGACACACTAGTGTACTCTAATTTCTCACCTGTTGCCCTGGCTTTTGATTTCCTTCAAAGAGAAATTCTTTTTTTCAAACTGTAGTCAAAATACTTCCTTTGAAGTCTCACTAAGTAGACCTTAATGATTTTCAGTACTATTTGATAGGTAACGCTGACATGAAATGTTTTCCATTATACTTAAAACAGAATTAACAGTGCATGTATTTCCAAAAGTCTTAGTTTATTTTCTTTTGTTACCTTTTTATGAGTTTTTGTTTTATTTTTGTTTTATTTATATTTTAATTTCTGTGTTCTGGCCATACCCAGGAGATTCGTCTGCTTTTGATTTCTCCCTTAAAAGTTACATGGTAAATTTTCTTTCTCATTCTTCTGAGATGGAAAAATTCAGAGATTATACAAATATAAAAATATGTTTACGGTGCTCACTCTATTGCTTGTTATTTATTGCAGCCTGAGGCCAGACTAAAAAAGGTGACAGTTACTCGGCTCCTATATGTCCTTGATGAGGAATGGATGTCAAGGCAGGTGGCGAAATTGCTGTGTCACTCAGTAGAAGTTTTAACCACCACCATACTCCTGATAAGCCATTCCTTAATTTCTTAAAGACAGCTAGGAGAGGTGAAAGTCACCAATGTAATACTGGCATATTTAATTAATGAACACTGCATTATTAACATGTACTTTGGGGGCTGAGAGCTTTAACAGGAGTATATGAGCCTTTGTTGTCCAGTGTACTAGTCACACTGAGCATTGGAAATGTCAGTATCCTGTAAGTGTAAAGTACAAGAGAATGTTAAGTATCTCATTAATAATGTTTATCCATTGATGCTATACTGAAATGATACATTGTACATAATGGGTTAAATAAAACACATTGTTAAAATTAGTTTTATTTCTTTCGACTATTTCAACATGACTGTTAGAAAATTTGAAATTACAGGTGTGGTTCATGGTATAGTTCTTTTGGGCAGCACTGGTATAGACAAATGTGCCAACTTCATTTTTTAAGTTTAGATAAAAATTCTTCATCGTCTGGCATACTTGAAATATTTTCTCTTAAGAGTTTGAAATTCGGGGCTGGGGATTTAGCTCAGCGGCAAAAGCGCCTGCCTGGCATGCGCAAGGTCGTGAGTTCGGTTCCCGGTACCGGAGAAAAACCAAAAAAAAAAAAAGAAAAAAAAAAAAAGTTTGAAATTCACTGGGAAAGAATTTTTGCCAACTACTTCATAAACAGAGGACTAACACCAAGAATATACAAAGAATTAGAAAAATTTAACTTACCAAAATAAAAGTCCCAATCAAAAAGTGGGCAACCAGAATGAACAGACAGTTCTCAGAAAGAGGAGTTAAAATGACCAATAAATACATGAAAAAATATTCATCATCACAGGCCTTGAGAGAAATGCAAATTAAAATTACACTGAGATACCATCTTACCCCAGAAAGAATGGCTGTCATCAAAAAATCTATTAATAACAAATGCCGGAGAGAATGTGGGAATAAAGGAACTCTTCTCTATTGTTGGTAGGAATGTAAACTAGTACAACCACTCTGGAAATCAGTGTGGAGATTACTCAAAAAAACTAAAAAGAGAAATTCCATTTGACCCAGCTGTTTCCCTTCTAGGTATCTTCCTGAAAGTTAAAATCATCACGTTATAGTGATACATGTATACCTGTGTTTATAGCACCACAGTTTATAATAGCTAGATCTTGGAAACAGCATTTATGTCCATTAACAGATGAATAGATAAGGAAAATGGATATTTAAACAAAGAAATAGGGGGCTGGGGATTTAGCTCAGCGGCAAAGGTCCTGCCTGGCAAGCGCAAGGTCATGAGTTCGATTCCCGGAAAAAAAAACTACAAAAACAAAAAACATAAAGAAATACTACCCTGCCATAGAGAATGATAAACCTGAGGCATTCATAGATAAATAGATGCAACTTGAGAATATAATGTTGAGTGAAACAAGTCAAACACGTAAGCTCAAATATGGCATCGTTTCTCTTTAAAAAAAAAAAAAAAGAAAATAGAAGAGAGATAAACAGGAAGTAAAGAGAAGTCCAAATACTTTCCCACATTACATATTCTATTGTTTCAAAAATATTTTGGTATATATGCTAGTTTCATTTATACTGCTAGTTTATCATAGTTTGTGGAAAGGAAAGGTTTGTGTTACTACCTGTTTCTTTTCTGTAAGAATCTTTCTGGTTTAAATCTTGTACTCTTTGTCACTACTTTGAAGATAATAATACACAGTATATTAAGTATTCTCATTATGAAATTTTGTTTCATTTTTTTCATAAAATAAGAGTGAAATTAAATCTGTTCCTTACACATTATGTAATCTGTTACATATCTGTACAGATTACATAATGTGTAAGGAATAGATTTAATTATTTCAGTGTTTGATATGTTGTGTGATTCTTTTAAAGCTATTTAAGGAAAATGTGTTAGATTTAGATCTGGTTTTACTTTTTTTTTCTAAAGCAAGACATTAGAATGCTCAAATAATGTTAGCTTTCTAAGAATGAAGGAACATTAAAACTTGACTTTATGTAAGCAGACTTCTGCAAATAACTTTTAAATATAGGTAATCTGTGACTATCCTTAGCAAAATTCCTGCATCTTATCCTTAGCAAAATTCCTGCATCTTTTCTAAAACACTAAAATGTTAATGACATAATACATTTAAAAAGCTTTTTAAGCTTTGAGTTATATTATTAAAAATGAAATGTAAGCATGAGAGATAAGGAAGCATAATCTTTAGTTTGAAGAAAAATCTCCTGGTTAAATTTTCAACATAGAAGAAAACTAAGAAAATATGCTAAAAACGCTGATTATACCTCCACCTCCCTAAATGTGGATTTTAAATGAGTGGTATGTATAAGTTTCCCCTGATTCTAAATAAATTACTATAAATTTAGTGGCTTAAAGCTACACGTTTCTTAACAGTAGTAGAGGTCAGCCCCGAGGTACATTTTTTTGTTTCTTCAGAGGCCCTAAGGAATGATTCTTGCCTTTTTGAGCTCCAGAGGCTGTCCACATTCCTTCGACATAGCCCTTTTTATTTCCAGGCCGACCATGGCTGGTCAAGTTCTTCCTCAGGCTGCTGGGATCAAATCCTGACTCCTACTTCCTGTTTTCATCTATAAGGCTAAGGATTACATTGGGTCCACCAGATTATCATGGTAATCTCCTCATCTCAAAATCACTAATCTAATCACATCTGCAAAATCCTTTGTTATGTAATATGACATATTCTCTGGCTCCAGGGACTAGGATGTGCACAATTTCTGAGGCCATTCTGCCTACACAAGGTCTCTCTATCTTCAGAGAAAAGGAAAAAACCCTCCTACTTCTGTGGTTCATATTAGAGATCCCAGAGTATCAACCAAGCCTTCTCCCACCCTAGAAAGAGATGCTTGGAAAGACATTTTTTGTTTTGTTTTTGTTCCGGTACCAGGAATCAAACTCATGACCTTGCGCTTGCCAGGCAGGCACTTTGCCACTGAGCTAAATCCCCAGCCCCAAGACTTATTTTTGTCTGTGGTATTTTGGCTAATTTTTCCTTTGACATGTAAGGACCTTTCTTTAAACACTTTTTAAAACAATTGAAAGTGCAGTTTTGCTCCTGAATAAAGGTATTATTGAGAAAATAACATAGAAACAGAAATTGCTAAGCTTTTTTGTTTGCTGTCTGAGAATCTCAGTGCTTAATAATACCACATTTAATTCCTTTGGTTGCAGTTACTATATCACTCATGTTTTGTTATTAGATCCCACAAGGAAGGTTGTGGAAGACATTTCACAGTAAGGTTTGAAAATGAAAATAAGGATTTGGGGAGTAACATTATTTAGTACATAGAATCTACATTCTAAGTTGCCAAGCTGAATTTCTGATTTTCTTACCACTCATTATATACCCTTGGGTACTTCATCTTAACCCAGCTTCTTTATCTTCCAAATGAAGCCAACAGAGCTGTCTTTCCCACCCCATGACGTCATTTGAGAATGTGTGTGTATGTGTGTGTGTGTGTGTGTGTGTGTGTGTGTGGTTTGTATGTGATTGTGTAGATATGTAGACAGCGCTAAAATTTAAAACGTAGGAAGTAGGCTCCACATAAGTTAATAGTAATTCAGCTCTTAATTTGTAATTTATTAATTTACCCAAGGCTCAAAATCACCACTCTGATAATTAGTTGGAATAAAGTTTATAATGCTTTCAAGTGTGATTAAAAAAAACAAACTCAATCACTATCGGTGATCTTTTTTAAAGAGCTTAGCTTTCCTATTGGAGGATTCTCTAGTATTAGAAAGCTGGCTTCTTCAGTGGATGCTAATGTAGCTGACTGATGATATCCTTAATTATTAACTTGCCTTGCTCGTATACCTTAAGTTATCAAAGTGGCTGTAACATGTTGAGATTAAAATTTACCTCAGAAAATATGTCCCCATTAATATTTTCCACAAATTTTGAGCATTCTATAGAATATTAACTACAAGTACCCATAGTATTTCATCACAAGCAACATTTTAAAATTTTGTTAGCCAAACATCGCATTTTCTAGGGTACAGTATTTGTATCACTGTTCACACTGTGAATACCGTAGAGGTAATCTATTAGAACATTTCAGGTACTATCCACTCATAAGTATTTAGAATGCTGAGTGGTCAGGTCTCTCAAGATGATGATGCCAGGCATGGTGGCGCACAGCTCCCTTCACAGCACTGGAGAGGCTGAGGCAGGAAAATTGGCGTGAGTTTGAGGCCAGACTCAACTGTATAGCAAGATTCTGTCTCAAAAAAACAAAACAGTGGAGGGGCTTTTACAAAATCTATGTTTTGAGCAAATGCACAGTTTACCATCTCACTTAAGACCGAATTTTGTATAGAAGGGAGCTCATGCTATTAAGCAGCAAGGCAGACCATCAGCAAAAATGAAGCGTTTTGAGTTATTCTAAAATGAAATACTCTAAAAGTCCTAAAGGAACAATAAAGCTATTAGTGACTTTATCGAAAATCCTAAAAATTTACCACTCTGATAGCCAGGCATGGTGGCGCACACCTGTAATTCCAGCATTCTAGAGGCCTCGAGTTCAAGGCCAGCCTGGGCTACATAGTGAGTTCAAGACCAGCCTGGACTACATAATGAGACCCTGTCTCAAAAAAACCAAAAAATTTACCACTCTGCAGATGTAAATAGCTTGAAATTATTTGTAAAATTATAGTTGCACAGTACAAAATAAGGACAAAGCATGTAGAATAAAGCTGATGTGATGCTTTATGAAATAGCTTTGTAATATTCAGAAAATCTTGCTGACATTGAAATTAGTAGCATGGTGCTGTGGACAGAGGAGTGAAATGAGTTAATCCCTGGTCTCCCAGTTTGTCTATTTTACAAATTAAGGCTTTACTCTACTTTTGTAGCTTCTACAAGAGACAGACATGTTAAATTAATCATTACTCATCAGCTTTATTGTTGTATACTTTTCCTATTGAATTATAGGCATATATAACTGATATCAGTAATGTAGATCTATCTTGTCACTAACGTAGATTGCCTAGTGACTATACCTAGTGCAAAATCACTAATAAATTTAATAGCAGATATAGATAGATAATAGCAGATATAGACAGCAATAGATTAGTAATTTAGGCTACTTCGGGTTAGCAGTTTTCTGAAGCTTACCTGAAAATATCTTCACTGTAAGGTGTAAACTAGTCATTTAAAATTGGCCTTGAGGAATAGTGGCAACTGGCTATTGCTTAGTGATATTTTCACTTGCTTAAAAGAGCATAAGTACTCTGCCCTTCCTTGTACCTGTAGAATTATGCTTCAGAAGTACTGTATCTCTTATGTTACCCTATTGCCCAAGGAATTAATAGTGATAAAAGAAACAGACGAAGAGGGACTAAGATGATTAGACTGTCTAAAAATATCTCATCATATAGTGATTGATCTTGAATGTCAGATTTCATATAGCAGTTACTGGAAAATAATAGACTTAGGATGTCAGTCAGTTTAATTCTTTTAGTACTTAAGGGAAATGTACATTAACAGCATGACTTGAGAGAGAAAGGTAAGGTATTTATGTTCAGATTCCTTGATGAATAGTTTGACCCGAGTAACTATACCTTAATTTTGGTCTGGCCTCACATGCTTTATATTTTATTACTGTTATTATTAAATAAATTACAGTTGTTATTACAGTTCTTTATCCTTTTATTGGGTTTAATTTCCCTTTACAAAATATGCATGGACCAGAACTGTGACTTTGGGAGGCTATTGCTGAGTTGTTGTTGATGTCAGTTTCATACTGTGATATTTTTTTCTATTTACCAAGAGATCAGTATTTTAATGTAACGATGTGCATGTTTTCCCCCCTTCTCCCGCTGCATGCAGGGATTCGGGTTCGTAACTTTCGAGAATAGTGCTGATGCAGACAGGGCCAGGGAGAAATTACACGGCACCGTGGTAGAGGGCCGTAAAATCGAGGTGCATGTCTTCAATAATTCAATTTCTGGTTTATACTTTATTTCTCTTTTCTTGTATTGCCTCACTTATCTCACATTTGGAACCCCATCTTGTGTGCGTGCACTGTATGTGTGTTTGTATCTCCGTGTTCTTCACCTTCTTGCACTAAGATAAAAAGTAACACTGCTGTCTGCCTATCCCTTTTTTTGGTTGTTTGGGACTTTAATTTTTTATTTTTACTCATTTATTTACTTTGTGTGTGTGTGTGTGTGTGTGTGTGTGTGTGTGTGTGTGTTTCATTTACTTTTTTCCTCTTCCCAAAATGTTCATCCTTCTGCTCTCTTGATTTTTTTCCTTTGCTTCAATTTGCCAGACTCTGAATTCCTATGATCAGGCCTAAATAAAACCAATTTTTAAAGTGTCTAAAAGCTATCTAATTGGTAACATTATGTTCTGTGATCAATCAAGGGGCCAGCCAGTATCCTCTTTCTCTTAGGAGGCCAGTTTGCCTCCACTGGAACAGATTATATAGATGTTGTGGGGAGAGAGGAAAGAACCCAAAACTCATGTGGTTTTAAAATCTTTACCTAATGTGAAGAATTGCAGCAGTTTGATTTTTAGATTTCACAAATAACACCCTCAAACATGGGGTTTGGTGGCTGGCTAGCAAGTGTGCTGTAATTATGGAGGAGTCAGCCACCAGGGTTCGCCAGCCCTTTTTAACAGTACGTTGAAGGTTAACTGGCTCCTTTCCCCTTTCCCAGTTTTTAAAAGTATTAAATATAAAAACCACCATTTGAGTAAGATGTCTGCATATTTTGCTTTTTTTTCCCCCCTTTCCAATGGTTTAGCATTTAGGGCCCTTCACTTGACTCACTCTTTCCATCGTAACTATACACAATGCTGGTGATGGTGCCCATTGGCGGTAAGTGGAAAAAAAAGTGCTAGAGAAGAAGCTTTTAAAAAATGTAATTACAAAACAATTAAGAAAGAAAAAGTCCATCTGCCATCTCACATTAACACTACGAAATGTGATTTGACTTGTTGTTCCTCTTCCCTTTCCTTTCCTTTCCTTTCCTTTCCCCCTTTTATTTTCAATGCTGTTGAGTAGTGCCCTCTGGACTTTGGATGTACATATTGTTTTGTAGCAGTCTGAGCTGTTTGATTACTGACCTCATGGTGATTTTTTCCCCTTGCACATCTTACTCAGAGTTACTGAACTCCAGTTTGGCTGGTTTTATTAATAATGCACTTTCTGCCCCTTCCTTCCCTACTTTTCCCCCTTCCCAAACCACTGTTTGCAGCTCTTTCTTTGCCCTTGACTGCTCCTTTGCTGCCAGCAGCACCCTTCCTGACTCGCCTTTCTTTTTTCCCTGCCTCACTGTTCTATTTATCCAAATTTTGGTTCCTGTCCTTTCTTGCTCCTCTTCCCTTGTCTGTTCCATGCAGCTGTTGGTCTCTTTTGCTGACTGGTGGTTTCTGATTGGTTCTGGCTGCTTTTATGTGCTTGGTTGCATTCTGCTGTAGCAGCTGGTTTAAGCTCTTGATCCATTCTAACCTTGCTTTTTACTTTCTCCCTTTCTGAGTTTTTTTTTCCTTTGTGTGTGTGTGCGTGTTTTTTAACTGCATGGTCTCAGTTTCATCATTGTTGTCTCCCATTCTTTCTTTGTAAATGTGAAATGTTTGTGTTATTGGGGGGTCTTACAAGAGTAAATGCAGTTTCAAGCATTCCTCATGCAAGATGAGCCTCACTATACAAATTGTAAAAGACACATTATAATGTTTTTAGTTCTTGTACTACCTAAAATCCATCTGTGCGTAGTATGAGTTTTGCACAATGTATATTATACTAGGAAACAAGATAGGACTTACTTGTATTTTACAATTTCTTTTAAAATTGGCATAGTTTCTGACCTAAAGAAGACAGTGTACAGTATCATTCTGTGAAGAGGCTTTCCTCTTCCTGCAAGAGCTTCAAGGCTGGTCCTGATGCTAGCCTGCCGTGCCCTGGCTTTTCAGTTATGTGCATCTCCTCTCCAGCAGCACCTGCTCACCTTAGCACTGACAGTGCTTCGTTTAAATTACACTGTAAGAAGAGTGGAGAGTGATGTTAAGACAAAAGAAATAAACACTTTATCTTCACACTTCAATTACCTACATTAAAGGCCTTCTGAAAAATTTAAATACAGATCATATCTTGTAGAAAATTCACAAAGGCCCTTAAGACTGTCAGTATGGGAATTTAAGTTCCTATATTTTTTATTTTTTTATTTTTTTATTTTTTTTTTGGTTTTTCTCCGGTACCGGGAACCGAACTCACGACCTTGCGCTTGCCAGGCAGGCGCTTTTGCCGCTGAACTAAATCCCCAGCCCCCCCTATATTTTTTTAATTAACCTTAGAAAAACATAGACAAACATCAAAAGTGAAACAGATTTATGAAATTATAAATCAGTAGATCTATTTTTATCATTTTCCTGTTAAAAAAAGAAAAAGCCCTAACCCTTCTTTACCCAGGTGCAAACCTGTTTTATAATAAACTTCAGAAAAAAATAAATAAATAAATAAACTTCAGAGTTCATTTGTGAATATAATTGTTTCCTATTTACTTTTTTCCATATTTTTCTACATGGAGACTTTCTGTTTAAGGATCTCCAAAGAACTTATAATTTATTTTTTTAGAATACTGAGTAATAAAGTAGCCCTAAGTTTCCATATGGAAACTGCATTTTACTCTTGTTAGCCTCACTTAATAAGCACCTAAATTAAAATTTTATATGTTAATATTTTATATTGTTAAATTAATTAAATCAGTGGTCTAAGAAATGTATGTTTTAAATTAAATACTGTATTACTGGATAAGCAATTTCATGTTCCTTAATGTCTACTTCCTCCCTGCCCCATCTTTCCACTTGTTATTTTTAGGTGAATAACGCTACAGCACGTGTAATGACTAATAAGAAGATGGTCACACCATATGCAAATGGTAAGAATTTACAAATCATCTTTGGAAGGAGTGTCATTTATTCTTATGTAAACACATGAACTTTTGTAGACATCTAAATATCTCTACTTCAGTCTTGACAGTTTATTTTATTTGTGTTGAAGTAGTCTCCCTAGGAGAGTGTATTATATTTACAGGTTAACTTGTTTCTTAGAATTAAACTGAACTTTTTAGTTGTTAAAGTGTTTTGTTCTCATCATTCATCTTGTACACAGTACAGACCTGTCATTTGAAGTTGCCTAGTCACCCAAACTAGGACCCTTTGACTCCATCTTTTTCCCCTCAAGCTATTATGGTTCTATTATATTAGACTTATACATAACGTTGCTAGAAGTAAACCAACTATACTTTTACTACTGATTCCTGATCATGTGGGTAAGAGTAGCATAACTTGGAGGATAAGTATATTATTATCACTTTGTAACTCTAGATCCCTTGCTTTCCTTGAGGCCTGGCAGGAATAGCCATAGTGTGTGTATGAGAGAGAGATTTTCTATTCCATGATTACAAATTATATGACAGATTTGTAGGTGTTTCTCACTGAGAAGGAAATTTTTATGAGTGATTATCCTAAGAAAAATAGAACTTTTATATCAGTTGTCAAATTTAACATAGATTCATGTTCTCTAAATGTGATAGAGCATAATTTTAATCTGCAGTCCCACAATGATTTTGCAAGCTCTGTTCTACAGAGCCAACCTGAGAAAGAAAAAAGAAGAAAGCAAATGGGCTTGGGTGCTGAAGCCTCTGGCTCTGTTTTCTTCCTTTTCCTTTTCTTTTTCGTTTTCTTTTTCCTTTCTCTTTCCCTTTCCCCTTGTCCTTTCTTCTTTCCTTTCCCTTCCCTTTCCCTTTCCTCTTCCCTTTCCTTTTTTTTGGGGGGTGGGTGTTACTGCTGAGGATCAAACCTTGGGCTTCATGCATCCTAAGTAGACACTTTTATACTGAGCATCATCCCCCATCCTCCAATTCTGCTTCAGCCTGAACAGCTCTTCATTCACTGTTGTAAGAACCCAAAACTCATGTGGTTTTAAAATCTTTACCTAATGTGAAGAATTGCAGCAGTTTGATTTTTAGATTTCTTAGATCTTAGGGTTTTGTGTAAGATTTTATTTACAATAAAACTGTTACAATAGTTTTTACTGCTTTCTTCAAAAGTTTGAACTTACTATACTAGAAAATTAGCCTTATGTGTTAGTACAACCTTAAATCAGATAGAAATACATTAGCAGTCAGTATAACCTATAAGGTCTTTACTAAATATATCCAGCCTAGCTTTTTACACACATGATAGAATTTATCAGCATAATTTCCCTTTTCTTTACCCATTTTATCAGTGGTATAATCATGAAATACCACTGCTTCTTGCTTTACCTCTTGCTTTCTTATTTTTACTGCTGCTATAAAACTGAGTTTCTGTAATTTTGATAAACCCCAATATAAACAAAAGGGAGAAGGAGATATAAAATGTATCAAATTTTCCTTAGATCCAGGGAAAATGCCATAACAAAAAGAACCTCTGATAGGATTTCAAAAGACAGAAGTTTTACTTTTGGATTTGACTCTACATTTTACTCTGTGACACTGGGTCAGTTTCTTAACCTGTCAGATCATTTCACATCTATGTTAGCAACTACAGAATTTTAGTACCTGCCTCTTTAGAAATCATCATCCCAACCCTCTCTGCTTATTTAAGAAAGGAAGCCCAAAGAACTATAATATTCACCCACAGTCAAAAATGTGGCACCTGTCTCCCACTTTTTGTGAAAGCCAAAGAAGATCTGTAAAAATGCTGTGTAAACTGTATAAAGCTAGGATTTCTCAAAGAGTTACAACAACATAATAACTTGCATCCATTTGTTTATTTAAAAGGTACTTGGGCCTAGGGGATGTGGCTAAGCTGCTAGAGTCCTTGCCCAGCATGTGTGAGGCCCTGGGTTAGATCCCTAGTACCACAAAAGAAAATAAAGGAGTGGTCAGGAAATAAGGCCATTGGTAGGAAAGAAAATGGTCAATTTTGGTATGTTATTTTAAGTTATTATTCAAGCCTAATAGTCAAGAAAACTGCTGCTGCTGTGTTTAAGGTCCTAAGAAGAGTTATAATGGAAGCCTTCCAGAGGATTTTCAGTCAGCATTTTCATTTATGTTGGGTGGAATCATTTAATTTTCATGCAAAGACATTGTGCAGTCTCTTTGAAACTTACACATTTGACATTGCAGAACATTCATGCGCTCATACTTGAAGTAGGATTTGAATTCCACCACAGTGGTAAATTCCAATGAAAGGGGATTTCAGTCTACCCAGAAAACCAGCATAGTGTAAGGACCTGGAGTCTAAGATCCAGGTCAAATTTGAATCCAGTCAAATTCCACCACAATTTTATGTAGATTAATGGAGACCATCATCAGGAACATAAAATATCACATTCTTGAGCACATTAGAACAGGACATTGGATTGATTGAAAATGAATAGATTTTCTCTTGAGTAATGGCTTTGCTTTTTACCATGTAAAGCTGGTAATTTCAATAGAATTAGCTTCCATTTGTATATTTACAAAGGAGCAGTGGCACAGTGCAAGGGAAAGAAATCAACAAAGCCAGTCTTTTGGGAAAATAATAAAGTATGTTTGCTTATTGTGTGTAAAATTCAATAAACATTTATTCCATAAACATTTATTAAAATTTTCATAAGTGGACAGTAGTATATTTTTCTTTTTATAAAGCACGTGCCGTATTCCTGTACATACTCTTAAAAGTCAAAGAAGAAATAAAATGATATCAAATACAATAATGTTTAGAAATTTCTAACATTTATAAATGTTGAAGCTAGCATAAGAGTCTGGTGTCTTTAAAAAGTCTGATTTAGGGGCTGGGGATTTAGCTTAGCGGCAAAAGTGCCTGCCTGGCATGCGCAAGGTCCTGAGTTCGGTTCCCGGTACCGGAGAAAAACCAAAAAAAAAACAAATAAAAAGTCTGATTTGCTTAAATATGTTCATTACAGATTAAACCACTGAAGTTGGAATGTACTGTGAATTTTATTATTGCATATCTTTCTTTTACTTCGTGAACCCCAGTGAAATCCCAGTGGTAAATTCCAATGAAAGGGGATTTCAGTCTACCCAGAAAACCAGCATAGTTAAGGACCTGGAGTCTAAGATCCAGGTCAAATTTGAATCCAGTCAGAAGATACCTTTATGAAAGAACTAAGGTGATGAGCTGGGTGTGGTGGTGCATGTCTGTAATCCCAGTGCTCAGGAGGCTGATGCAGGAGGATTGTTGTTAGTTCAAGACCCTGTGTCAAAAAAGACAAAAAAAAAAAGGACTATGGTAGTAAAGACTATTAAAATGATGTGTAAGAAGTTGCATCACCATGTGGTACAGAATGACACATGTGCTGCGTTTTTTCCCCTTGCTAAACTAAGAGAAGGTCATTTAGGTCGTGTTGTGACAGCACTGTAACAGACCCCAGGGTTTATTTCTGTCTTTTTCTTGCTCTTACCTGTCCATCTTCCTTTCTTTCCCAATTTATTTTCATACCCTGCCCACTTTTCCTGACTCTCTCATTATCCATTCAACCATTCTAGTCGTGCTTCAAGACAATGCCATTGCCCTCTCATATAAACCCGAAGGTGACATTCTAAGGGGGAATTAATAATAGGCAAATATAAGCCCCGAGGTGTCTGAAGCCAACTTCATATACACCGGCACTCCTTTTCCTCAGTAATCTTAAATGCTCGCTGCCTTTTTTTCTATTTCAGGTTGGAAATTAAGCCCAGTAGTTGGAGCTGTATATGGCCCCGAATTATATGCAGGTAGTATTTAATATTTCCATTTGTGCTGTTTTATCACAGCCTCTGTGGTTTTAATTTCCTACCCCTTTGTAATCCTTTCATATTTTTAAATTTTTTTAATGCAATCAGCATCCAGCTTTCAAGCAGACGTGTCCCTAGGCAATGATGCAGCAGTGCCCCTATCAGGAAGAGGGGGTATCAACACTTACATTCCTTTAATCAGTAAGTAGCCTATGTTGGCCTGGCAGGGATTTTGCCTATAGTGTCTGAGCAGTGGTGTGCTGGTTGGTTGGTTGCTTGGTTGGTTTTTCCTAGTATAATACATAACTGAAAAGAAAATATTCTCAAGAAGGGCAATAAATATCACAATGCTTTGTTCTGTTTAATCCATGCTAGAATATTCCTGACTGGATATTAAAATGGCCACACAACAAAAGTAGTTGGAAAGAGGGGTGAGGGCAGGGGAAGAATATTCATTCTGTAGTTGATAATAAGGAAAACAAAAGACATAAATATGTGTAACTTAAGTTATTCATATCTTCTGCTGGTGCACTTAAGGCTCTCCAGTAGAGTGTCACTTAAAAGCACCAAAAGTATTACTGATTATTCTCAGCTCCCTTGGTATCTGTAAAGTCACTTTGACCTGAGCCTTTTTACTCCACCCAGAGATACAATTAAACAGAACTCAGGGAGTGTGGAAGTAATGTCTCTACACACTTTCTAGAGAACAGTACACTTAAAATAAGCCCTTAGAGAATGCCCATCTCTTGAGAGTGTGACAGGAGAGGGGTGGTTTTCCTCTCACCTTACATTTCTGCATTAAAACATTGCAGATAAAAAAAATGAAATTGACTAATGAAATATCTAACTATTGTGTGCGTTGGAGGTGACACCATGTAAAATACAAAAGAACAGTCTTTTGAGGATTAATTATGTTCACATCATAATGTTGGGAAACAAGATTAATAATTGGCCTTTCAAAGAGTTCCTATCTATCTGATTTAAGCTGCCCACAGAAATTAGAAGTCTTGTCTCTTATTGTGGCAATAGTCCTCAGCTTCTTGACCTGTTTCTCACTACCTCTCATTGTAATGGCAAAATGGGAAAGAACAGAATAAACTCACTCAGGACATTATAATTTAGTCATGGACTCATTCACTTGTGCATGTTGGGTCTCTCTTTCCACTTCTTTTCCACTCAGATCTAGGGCAGAAAAGGTACTGAAGCCTGTGTTGCAGCTTTTGAGAAATGATATGATAGACAGCTTTTCATCTTTTCTGTAATTTGTTTACAGTGAGTTGTGACTGTACCTGCTATCGAATGCAAATTGAAATTTCTGTCATATTTTGGGTCTCCCTTTAGTTCCTGGCTTCCCTTACCCAACTGCAGCCACCACGGCGGCTGCTTTCCGAGGAGCCCATCTGAGGGGCAGAGGGCGGACAGTATATGGTGCAGTTCGAGCGGTACCTCCTACAGCCATCCCCGCCTATCCAGGGTAAGCATTACATTCCAAAGTCAGTGTGTGTCTAAAATAGGAAATTAGACCCCCCCCCGCCCCCGCAAAAAAAAAGACTACCACGGTCCTCTTGTAACTTCTGGGACATTGCTGTGCCACATAGTGTGAATATTTGCAAATTAATGGATCAGATGGCAAAAACCAAAATATATCATCATCAGAATGTTACCAAATGTCTATTCATTATATAAATCTTGGTTTTGGCCACCTTAAGCCTTCATGGTAAGGGCTTAAGACAGTAGCCAGAATCAGCTTGTGTTTATTAGCAGTGTGTTGGCATGGAGTTCACTCAACAGAGCACGAATACGGATTAACACTACTGCAGAGAAAGAAGAGAGGAGCTGGATATTGTAGTACCAGACCGCATCTGCTGTGCTTACCCCCTTCTTGCCACCCTGTGTTGGGGCAGAGGCTGGCACATGTGCCCTTCCCTTGGTTTCACTGCCCGGGTGGTGAGCAGCAGAGCTAGTTACCCACAATGGATTTGCTTTCTTTGTAGGAAACGGATTAAAAGAGGTTAATTCAAAGTGAACCAAATCCGATTGAATCAAGGGAGAAAGGGAGAATTAGGAGGATTAAACTGCAGTTGGCTTCTGAAGGATGGTAAAACAGCTGATGTTGCTGAGCATCCTTCACCCTTTGATTTTTGTGTGGAGGGTGTCTCATGCAGTGGAATGATTCCATAGCAACAAATAAATCCTTTGCTGTTGAAGGGGAAGAAGGAGGGATGATGGCAGGTTGTTTTAGTTGTTTCTCTGTGTCAGCCTAAAATGAGTATTTTTACCAGAAGTGGACTTTTACGAGTCAGTTGTACCAAAGACTTTCTCTCTTCAGAGATGGGACATTTCTCTTCATCTTTTCTCTACCTGTGGCAGGTTTTTTCTGTATTCCTACAGAGAATAAATAGTGGCAGAAAAGCCTGTTAGCTGCTACTTAGTTAAAACATAAAGGGTAAGAGCCTCCTTTGTATGTCCTTTTCTGAGAGGAAATTTGGCTTCACCTGGAGGTGTACTAATTTAACATTCATTCATTCATAGACCAATTGGACATACCATTAGGAGTCCTCCATGCCACAGAATTAAAGCACTTTTGTTAGACCAGGCAAGTATGCATGTGGAAGTGGGCAGGATCCAAAAGACACTTGAAGGGAACTGCTACAGAAAATTACTTTTGTTTGCAAGTTATAGATGTTTAAATCCCATGCATTCCATCATCTCCATCTTCTGCCATGACTTTTAATTTTATCCTTTTTTCTCTCTATTTGACCTTTGACCTTCAACCTCTGACATCTCTTTAAAGAAGTGAATAAAGACACTATTGTTTGATCAAAAAAAATTCAAATCAAAAATTTCTGCACACTAGGAAAATTGATCATGAAGCTTCTTCCATTTCAATCCAAAAGTATTTACTGTCTCATTTGCAAACAGGCTGCTCAGAGAAACATGGGATTTCTTTATAACCTCTCCAAGTAACTGTATAAAGTGGTTGGATTCATTCTTGTGTGATGTAGGTCATTTCACTATATTGGCCAAACTTGAGAGCCCATTCTCTCCCAAGTACATGTCAGATATGTATTTGCTCAAAGGTACTTTATCTTTTATGTCTAATCACATCAATTTCTGTGCATTACATTGAACACTAATTTCCCATGTTTTCTTTTTTATTAACTAAACCACCTGTTTACATGGAAGATGGCAAGGAATAAGTCCAGTATTTTATGGGGAATGGCCTGGAACTGCTTTTCAGCTTAGTAACTAATTCCATGATTAATTGTGTTCTAGCCTCCTTGTGGCATTTTATACAGAGAATACAGAACTTCTTCTAGAATTTAGGTGAATATTCCCAGTAAGTGGAATATTATTTTGGGTCTCCCAGTAAGTGATTTGACTTAGAGCAAAATATATTGATGTTTTTAATGTCAACATTTCACTATGGGATTTTTTTTAACATTTGCCTAGATCTCCTTTCTGAAATCACTGAAGGTTAATTAATCACCACTTGGCCTCAGTGCTTTCTGTTTTATCAGCTTTCTCATTGCAGATAGGTCTTTTTATTTACTAAAGTGCAACTGAGAAGATTAGTTTCTGTTTTCAGATTTTAAGTAAATTGTAGACTGTGAAAATGTATAGTACTTAGCCAAATAACCATCAAAGATAAATTTAGTTCACCTGTTGTGTGGTACAAAGGTATAACATTTGGAACATTGTAAATTGTGACCATAGTATACTATAAATATAACAAAACGTCACTGAAAATAGGATTCAGATATTTTTTAGCACCTTATAAGAAACAAGTTATTTCATACTCATGTTAAAAATATGATTTAATGACCCTACTTGCCAACTTGTTAATTATAACGGAGAAAGTAGTGCTAAATTTTTCCACCTCGTTTACTTGAATTGGCAGTAAACAAATCATCTCATTTAAAATAGTCAAATCTTGACCTAACAATTACAAATAAGAAAATCTTATCTTTTATCTGCTATTTCATGTCTTTTAGTCCCAAAATAATTTCGGGGGAAAGACTCTCTCTCTGCATAGTATATATATATATATATCTACCTCAAAAGGTTGAAAATCTATACTTAAGGGGTAATACTATAGTGTTACTCCAGATTTAAGAAAAATAAAAGACTTACATGTTTTGTTTGATACAAAGTCATTATCTAAAGAGGAAAACAGACCCTTTTGTTCCTAAGCAGCCACTCTCTTGATTTTACTCTTCTAAACAAGACAGGATGATCCTTGGTCATGCCCAGAACTTAGTCATCAACTATTTTATTTCAGGATTCCATGAGTACTCTTACAGTCAAAAAAGAACCCTTAAAATCTTTCAGCTACTCCTTCCCACTCTGGATTATATTGTTACTATCTGGGATCCCCACTGCACCTTTTCAATTCTTGGACCTTGGACCAATCACCTTTAACCTTTAGCTCATTATCTCTGCTTGTGAAAGCAATGCATTGTGGGTATTTTTGGTTGTTTTTTTTTTTAATTATATTCCTCTGTTTACTTTGGTCAGAATTGATTGACTTGTTTTTCTGAGGTGTTGCATTGGTTCTTAAAAATGCTGAATAATAATACTTTGCATGCTTGTGTGATCAGCCAAATCTTATTGCATGTCTAATGTGCAGGGTAAAAAGCAGGTGATGTATGGATATTTTAAAATTTACATGTTACTATGAAACAAAATAAAGGAGTAAACATAATTTTGGAAGGTACTTCACATACACATCCTGCCCTAACATAATTCTCTGGGTTCACTTGTTTTATGTTAAACCCCGCCCCATGCCTACCCTCTTTTTAAACTCTAAAGAAAAACTTCCTCCTAGAACAGACCTTTTAAAATACTCCAGATACAAGAAGTGGATGTTCCAGTGCAGCTGATAGCCATGTTAGGCCCTTCTCTGAGTGGTTTTGTTTTGTTAATCTTTAGTTACCAAGTATCCAGATGCTCATTCTAAGTTTGCACACCTTTCACTCTCCCGCATGTCTTGTAGCTGTGTAACCCGAGTGTGCACTTTCACGTTTCCCTCACTGACTCACCGTGGCCCTAGCCCAGGTTACGAATTCATACATCACCTGCCTGTGTAGAGCGCATGTGCATGCTGCCGTCCTCAATAACCGGAATGTGTTTCTGTTCTTTTGTTTTTTTGTTTTTGTTTTTGTGTGGATTTTCTGCAGTGTGGTTTACCAGGACGGATTTTACGGTGCTGACCTCTATGTAAGTACACACACTGGGGCCTTCTCGACCCCATCCCCTGACAAGCCAGCCTTTTTTTTTCTGTTTCTTTAGTTTGGTTATTTTGTTTTTTGTTTAAATATAATTTATTTCATTTTTATTTCCTTTTCCTTGTGGATATATATATATATATATTTATATATTTAAGAATGCAAGCATGCTTCTCTGCCACTGCGCTTGCCCCTGGGTGCAAAAACTGAGCCTTTGGGTCTCCTGATTGCTAGGGTCAGTCTACTGGACATATTCTTTTCCCTTCCTATACCCACAGATACTGTGTATATCTCTGATTTATTTTTGAGATGATCAGCAGGTTTAAAGTCTTTTGTTACTGTCGTATCATGTGCATACATAAATGACAGGACTAGCTTAGCCTTGAACCAACTCTTTCCCTTCTCTCCTTTTCTTCTCATTTCATATCCCTCTCTAGATCATTAGAGCTTTGAATTTTGTAGATGACAATAAGCTTTCTGAACTGTGTGCTTTTTTTTTTACATACTTGTAGAAAATGTAAACTTGTAAAAGAAGATACGGATTTAATGCCAGTGAAGAGTGTAGTAACAAGAGGATGCCAAACAGTCAGTATTTTAAGACCTTTCTTTATACAAAAGTCCACTGCCAGTGGGTCTCTTCTCAAGATCTAGAGGCGAAAGAGTGGTATCATTAACAACCTAACTCTTACAGTCTTTCAACTATCACACAAGATTTTTTTACTTTAGTGGCCATGATAACACTTAAACCAGTATTTAAACTGTTTAGCAAAAGGTGAAGTTCTCTGATTGATTTGTCACATTAAAAGATAGATGAAGTGATCTAACTGATAAAGAGTGAAAGGTTTTGAGTTTTACAATCTCATTAGGACCTCTTCAAATGGTCTTATTCTGAACGCCAGCTTCGTCTAGTCATCCAAATCATTAAATAATTTTATAAGAAAAACTTGTTAGTGTGAAGTTATTTTTTGGGTCTAGGTTAAAATCGTCTAGACTACTTTCTTTACCCTTGCCTCCCAAAAGCTATAAATAGTACCTTTTCAGTGAACTAATTCCATATTCAACCAAAGATTCTCTGGCCATGATTGGTCCAACACTGTAACTTTGTAGTTTTCTTAGATTGTGACTGGCCCAGAATCATATAAATTATTCACATAGCTGAACATAAATACAACTAATCCATATTTCATGACCTGTCTTTATACTTCAATTAAAATCCACCTCTTTCTGTAGAATATTTGCAAGAAATAATAAAAGGTACCTTTTTTCCCATGTCTACAGGTAAATTTGAGGGTTGGGTAAATCCATCTTTTACACCAAATTGCACATTTCTAAATATACATATTCACATATGATGTTAATATATACATTCTCCCATATACATTAGTACCCATATTCTCATTAAACTCATCTTTGTTTTCTTGAAATCTAGGAAAAGAAACTTTTCCATTTAAAATTAATTCTTATATCACATTTTTTGCCTTGTATTTTTCTTATTTTTTTAAAGTAAAGCCTAGTTCTGTCTTAAGAATTGCCTACTATCAAGATAAGTCAACTACTTAAGTCAACCAGTTAAATATTTGTTTATAGTTCTTTCATTTCCTTACTTTCAAATGTAAAATTTTATTGAGATCATTCTTCGGTACTTGTCAAGAAAATATTCTTTTTTAAAAAAAATCTACTAATTGAATTACCTTATGAAACTAAATAAGTAATTCAGTAATCTGGCCAAAATACGTTTTTGTCAGTGGTCCCTTCTTGAATAAAGTACTTAAAAGTAATTGTGTTATTATTCATTTGTACATATTTTAAAGCAGAGCTTCATGGAAAGAAAATTTGGTCACTAGTACTGAGATAAAATCTAAGCCCTCTGATGAGAAACAAGATCACATTATGAGGCAGCTGTTGAGATGGGCCTAACAGAAGTGTAGCTATTAAAAGTGGATAGTCTGTATTCCATATGTGAGGAACCAAAGACTGCCACTTTAACACACAGGAACAACTGTTCTGCACTTATTCTTGTGTCTCTGTACATTTTCCCATCTGTAGATATCTACCATATACATTTAGTTCTTGTTTCCTCAAACACGTATTAGAATAGAAAGGATGAGATTTATGTAGTACAAGATACATTGAATCAGAGAAGACAACTTAGAGAGAAGCTTGCTTCCAGTACATTAATTGTGAAGGGTTTTTAAAAATCCCTTTCCCTGTCCCACTTTTAGACAGTGATCCCTGCTAGCCATTTTCTTCCTTTCTGTTTCTTTGCAGCGCACTGCTCTCTGGAGAGCTGATCTAGCAATTGTGTCCACAGTTTATAAAGAGACCCGCTGGGATAGGGATTGGGAGTGTGATGGACAGATCATGTGTCCACCCTTCCCTGCCCTGTTTTGCCCAGTAGAAAAGGCATAGTTCACTCTAATTCACCTTCTAAGTGGGATAACAAACTACTCCTAATTCTCGTTCTGTGAAAAGCATGCTTGCATCCAAAGGAAAGAAAAGGCTGGTGGGCCCTGTCGCGGGCTTTTTGTATGATTGTTTTCCTTCCACAGCTGTGTTTTTTGAACTGCTCTTCCTGTGTTCTGTTATAGAATAGTCTTACAGGAACCAATCATTAGCGCTAAAATACCTCAGGTAGGAGTGCCAGTGTGACCTGCCAATCAATCAGATTGTGGATTGCAGTGAAAAAATTGAATTATACTAACCATTCCAGCTCCACGTTAGAGATGGGAACAGAGGCTTTTTTGGACAATCAGGACTTGTGAGCGCGTGACCTAAGCCCTGCTAGCTCAAGCAGTGCACACAGTCACATTCTAGGCATAGTGGCGTTTCCTCCAGAATCACATGCTCCTGTCCCACTGCCACATATCTGCACCAAGTGTGTTAACGCACACTGTCCCATCACTGCTGCCTCTTCTAATTTGCCAATTACATATGCCCTTGGTATTTCATATTGGCGATCTTAGTGATGGGTACATTTTCTTATCACTGAAAAAAATGTAAAAAGGAAAGAAGTAGAGCTCTACCCAAATAGGATTTAGTGAGTCCCACATTGGGTTCTGTAGTAAAAGCCTAGTAGTGATTAGACTGTGCTACTGTATCAGTTTGAAGTTGCTTTGATCTCAGAAACTGAGATGTGCCTTTCTCTTACCTTCTCCTTTCATATGGGAAAATCAGTGAGTTTATGTGGCTAATAACAAATTTGTCAGGAGGTTTTCTGATAGCTGGGTGCTAGAAGGAAGAAAACATTCAGTGGCTTTTAATAATTCAGTTGTTTTATTTATGTGGCTACCCAGTGAGATTTTAGGATGAACTAATTTTAAGAGATGTGGAATAATAAAGTGTATGAAAGATTTGATTCATTTAAATATCCTCTGTCATCTGTCATGAAAGTAGTAAGTTGAAGATACCAAGTTGATCATTATAATTTCTTCTGTTAACCCCAATTTGAGATAATAATAAAGTAAAATATAAATATTACTTTTCAGAGTATATAGATCTCTCTCAAAAAGAGTAACTGTAATACCATTATTATTTTTTTTTAATTTGAGTCTGTGTTACTCACATTTACTCATAGGTGCCATATTGCCACGTAAGAACTTAATGTTTACTAAAGCAGTGGTTTTCAGCCAAGGTGGGGAGGCAGTGAGGAAAAAGGAGGCAGAATCATCTAGGGGCAAATAAAGTGACTCCCAGGAGTCCAGCATGCATTGTTGCTAATTGGAGGAGACCTCTGCTCCACTGCACTGTTTATAAGCATCACACTGGTGTTCCCCTCTACACACGCACACACACACTCACTTGCTGTGTTGATCTAGTGTACTACATGGAGGTAACAAAACTTTCATCCTGTCTGCTGGTCTTGAAACACGCACCCTCCTTCCTCCTCAGTGTCACATGATGTCATTGTCTTTCAGGTAGAAAGAAATTGTCTTGACATCACATGCTCACCAAAGTCCTGTTTTAGTGTAAACCTTAAAAAAAAAAGTAGTAATATTAAAAGTGATGTTAAAATGGAGACAGGGCAAAAGTCTGCCAATGTGAGATTAATGCAGATTAATGTCACAGATAGAGGAGCAATATTTAGAACTCTTCCATCATGTTCTGATTTAAAACACAGTTACAGAACTGTGCAGAAGAATTATGCAGTCAGTGTGGAAACATCGTCAAGGTAATTTGATGATAGAGCACAGTAGAAAGGCCCAAAGTGATGTTGAGCCATGGGGAAACTGAGGCTTTAGAGTAATAACTTCAGAAGTGATTACCAAATGGATCTTAAAAGCAGTAGCATTTCCCTTTGAAAAGTTGAAGGCAGTATGTTCCAAATATGTAAAAAGTAAAATTCTTAAGTACAGGAAATATATGAGAAGAACACTGTGGATCAGAATATATGGTTGTTGGCAGAAGGTGAGCATACATGTGAGTGCCGTGGGTCAGGACTGAATTGATTGTCAGGTCAGGCAGATGGAAGAGGGGAGTGATGTAGCATTGGGCTACCCTGACTGGGAACACTAGGAGTCATGCAGAGTGAATTGCCAAGGAATAAGAAAGTAATTATTTTTCAGTGGGCATGAGTGTGTTTTAATCAGGCTTAGCCATGCCAAATTTATGCAGCCCTCAGAGTTCCAAAAAGCTGTCTGTGTGCCCTCCTACATTAGGGTGTGCTGTGGCCATGCTAATCCCCATTTTTTGTTTTATTTCAAATCACACACAGATAGAATCTGCAAACTGCTTCAGATCAAACAGGTCTGATTGTGTGTAAATACATATGTCCTTTTAATTTTTATTATTAATGGTTGCTTCAGTTTTGCATCAGTGCATGGTTAAAAGCAATACACATCAGCTATTCATGACTTCATATCTCCAAATGAATTATTTCTCCTCTTTTTTTTTTTTGTTTGTTTGTTTGTGCAGTCAGCTGAAGAAATGTTAACATCTCACTCTAAATCTCAGTGGAGTCTCTGTTCCCTTCTCTGATATAACAGATGGGTTATTGCTTGTTATAATTATTAACATTGTGGTGTGGGCCAGGGCTCGGGTGGGCAAGATTTACTCTTCCTTTGGGCTGGGGTGGGGCCAGTTGTTAGGGTATGGAATGTTAACTCAAGTGGTGACTGACTGTTTCCGTAATACCAGGTCGTTGTGGCTGCACGCTCTAGTAATTGAGGCTGTGTACTTCACCAAGCTTGTGGTAGAGCCTAGGGCAAACCGCTGTCCCAAGAGAATGCTGGGATAGATAGAGTTAGCCAATATGAGTCTGAACGTGGTGATTTTGCTGGTTGTTTTAGCTCCAGATGTTGGCATGCTTAGTTTTTAATGTGATTAATAAATGTGGCGCCATATTCCCTCCCCACGCCTGAACCCTCTCTCTCCTACTCCCTTCCCACCTTGTTCTTTTTGAAAAATTTAAGAAACAGTAATGTAAACCTTGGTGTTTCAAACTGCACTTTGTTCTCATGTTCTGTGAAAGCCTTCAGAGTTGCTGGTAGAAGTAAAAGTTGAGAAAACAGTTTCTCAGCCTGGAATCTTGATGCACTCTGAAATCCAGAATACAGATAAATTGGTCCGGGTTTTGTCCTACATTTTGTGATATATTTTGTTGAATAACCAATTTAGGCAGGAGCAGAAATACTTTGGAGGAAGAATAGATCTCTAAGAGATAAATCCATAACATACAGTTTAATTTTTCTTATTTGAGGAGTAGTCATTGGTGAATTACAAGATTAGTTAAGCAGAATACTACCAACCATCCTAAACATAGCTCTCCTTTAAAGGACTTCTATATAATACCATTATCATAAATTCATTAGGAGAATAGACATGTTGAAATATACCATTAATTAATGTAGTTTTTCTTAGTGCTGATACTCTTCTGGAGGCTTTTGTTATCAGTAAAAATATTTGCATTCATGCCCTGTTTCCTGAATTTGAATCACAAAAAACCTCAGCAAGTTCAGACACTATAGTCATAATTTACTTATAAAAGAAGGAAATTACTGCAGGAATCTGTCCACTCTTTCTGGATTAAGGGGATATTCTTTCCCACAGTGATCCATTTTGAATGGTTTGAACTGACAGTGACATTACTCCTAAATATAGCACTGAGGCCTTTGGGCCTCTGGCAGGCCAAAGAAAATGATGGGGGCTGGGGATTTAGGTCAGTGGCACAGCGCCTGCCTGGCAAGCATGAGGTCGTGAGTTCGATTCCTGGTACTGGGAAAATAAAATAAATAAAATATATTTTTTAAAAAAAGAAAATGATGGTAGGAGTCCTGTTAGGAACCTCACTTAATGGGCTGGGGATTTAGCTCAGCGGCAAAGCGCCTGCCTGGCAAGCGCAAGGTCGTGAGTTTGGTTCCTGGTACCGGAGAAAAACGAAAAAAAAAAGGAACCTCACTTAAAACTTCTTTTTCCCAAGACTAGAAGAATTCAGCTCAAAGTCATGATTTGAATAAATCTTCACAGAGAATATCTCTACTCAGGCATTGTGGGGGTCGAGTAAAGATTCTTGCCCTCTCCTCCCTCTGTGCTGGGATTGAAATTTGAAATTAGAGCTGCTAACCTGCATCCCTGGCATATTCACTCCTCATCTTGAGACAAGATCTCACTAAGTTGCCCAGGCTGGGTGGCCTCAAACTTGCAATCCTCTTGCCTGAGCCTCCTGAGTAGCTGGGATTACAGATGTGTACCACTGTGCCCAGCTGTCAAGTGAAGACTCAAGCTGCAGAGTCCCCTGATGAGAATATGTACCTCTGCCCTAGGTGGATGCCCTGGTTTTTAAGTGCTTTTACCTAGGCAAACATGAATCAGGCTTTAACCTTGGATTTAACTTTTTAAAAAATTACGTTGGTGTTTGAATTATCCTTGTTTACAAAGAACTTTTACTAAAGATAGAGAGCCCTGCTGTAAGCTTCACAAGAGCTGTAATTTTTTTCTTTTTCTTTTTTTTTTGGTACTGGGAATCAAACTCAGGACCTTGAGTTTGCCAGGCAGGCGCTTATGCCGCTAAGCTACATTCCCGGCCCTTTTTTTTTTTTTTTTTTTTAAGGCTCTAAGTCTTAAGAGCCATCTCTAGTTATAGTATCTTGAACTGTGGCTGGCATGTGGCACAACAGTGATCTCAGCCACTTCCGAGGCTGAGGTGGGAGGATCACTTGCACTCCCAAGTTCAAAACCAGCCTGGGCAATACAGTGAGGCTCAGCCTCAAAAAAAAATTTCTTTTTGTCAACTATAACAGTTAACTTTTACTTTGTTTAAAAAATACTTCTATTGCTTCATGTCATATTTAGAAGTTTAAAGAAGTAAGTAAGGTAAAAAAAAATTAGTGCCTTGTTTCACAAGCTTAGTTTGTTCTACAGTTTTAGAAAATATGGCCGTGGTCCTGTTTGTCATCAGATGCAGAGTTTGCAAACAAACCAATTTTGCCAAATGCTTCTGTTTGCAAACCAAATTGTTTGTAAATAAAAGTGTTCGTGAATGAAGGTACCACAGTACTGTAGTGAATTGTGTTTTGCAATCAGCATATAGTTATTAAGCTTTCCCCAAGTCAGTCTGGCCTGCCATTCCCAAAAGACCTGGCTAGTGTTTGGTTGCAAACAGCCCAGTAGGGGGTTTCCTGCTATATCCCCACCCACTACCATTTATTGCCAGTGTTTAGTAATACCAGTTACAATCTCCTGACTTTTATCAGTATGTATAGAAAATTTTGTCCGTGAAAGTAAGTGTTTCCTTTTCCAATTCCCTGGGTAAATGGAAAAAAAAAAAAAAAAGTAACATGACTGCTGGAAGCCAGTCAAAGAATTTTTTAACATACAGCATAACCTTAAAAAACAAGAGTGAATTTTCCCTCTCATTGCAGTTTCTTCAGTGAGAGAAACTTAAATTATATGAGAATGAAGCAAAAACTTTTTTTTTTTGTTGTTTTTTTCTGGTACTGGGAATCGAACTCATGACCTTGCACTTACCAGGCAGGCGCTGTGCCACTGAGCTAAATCCCCAGCCCCAGCAAAAACATTTAAAAGTTCATAAAATTATAGACATTTCCAAAATAAGATTTAACAGAAATGAAAGAAGCAAGGTAGAAGCTGCTCCAAAGAAGAATAAGAGTCCCATTAGAAAATACTTGTTTTCAGTCCTATAGAAAAGATATAGAAATAAACAATGACATAAAAATAAATGTGAATTTCTTTGGTAGATTTAGCAAAAAGTGAACGTTTGAAAAAGTAGAAGGTAAGAGCTTGGGGATATAGCTCAGCATTAGAGCACTTGCCTGGCATGCACAAGCCCCTGGGTTCTATCCCCAGTACTGCCAAAAAAAAAAAAAGTTTTTTAAAAAGAAAAGAAAGTAGAAAGTTTCAAATGTCCATGAGCAATGAACATGCTTAAGCAACAGAAATATTTGGTTTTATTGTTCACCACTGAAATGATATCCAAATGGACCATTCAGACAATTACAGTATCTTTCACAGGAAAAGGACAGCAATAAGAATTTGCATCTGAGTTAGGTTTAGGTAAAATAGATGCTAGACTTGGTAGCACATGCCTGTAATCCTAATTACTCTGGAGGCTGAGGTTGGAGGATTGCAAATCTTAGCCTAGCGTGGACAACATAGCCTCTCTCTCTGTAGATGTATGGACTTTCATTCCTTACACTAGCTTGTCTCAGGGGGCATTCATTGTGGTGATTGTTTTTGAAGTACTTTATAAAAGAGGACAGACATATGGTTCACTTTACTAAGTATATGGTTCATCTGAGAGAGGTGAAATTGTTCCAGATCTGTATGCAACTAGCCAAAGACTCCTCAGCCATTTGTAATCAGGTTTGCCAGAGTCTGAAACACAAACTAGAGTGCGCAGACTCTTTCTGTGAAGGCTAAGTGGTACATATTTTTAAGCCATACTGTCTCTGGCATGACTACTCTGAAAAACAGTTGATAAGTTGGGTTAGCTCCCAGGGCCAAAGTCTGCTGACCCCTGATCTGCTTTGTCCTTTCCTTCCAAACACTACCTCATGTTCTCAGTCTCTTGACAAACACCTAGGCCAGTGGAGCGGAACTCACTATCAGACCTTTCTTCGATAAGCTCTAGTATCTTAGTAATGAGTTAATCCAAGTACAGTTCAGAGAATATGAAGTTAACACATGTAAATGTAACATATTTTAACTGTTTTTGCATTTCTTGTCCGAGTTCTCCCAATATTCCATGAATGTTTTTTCCCTGTTGAAAGTTCCAACAAAGACTGTGAAGTAAGACAGATCCAAAATCTTACCTTTAGCTCTTAAAATTAATAGGTACTATTGATACAGCTTAATTTTGCTACTGTCACAAATTGGAAAGTAAATTCCTGTGCTGGGTGGAGCTTAATTTCCTGTCAGAAGAGTAACATGTAGACTGATGCAGTTTGAAACATTTTCTTTCCATGTGTGTGTCTGTGTTTGTGTCTGTCTCTGTGTCTGCGTGTGGGTGGGTGCGTGTGTCTGTCCCGGGGGAAGGTATCTGTAAAGTCAGTTCTCTTCTCTCCTGTAGGGTGGATATGCAGCCTACAGATATGCACAGCCTGCTACTGCAACTGCAGCCACAGCCGCTGCAGCCGCTGCAGCCGCTTACAGCGACGGGTAGGTACAAGGTAGAGAGTGAGCACGTGCCATCCACAGTGCCACCAGCCCCTTTTCCTCCCTCTCCTTTTCCAAGGAGCACTCAGGCCATGCGCTTCCTGCCAGCCTGCTCTGAATGGCCTCTGTTGTGCCAAAGCACGGGCACTGGGTCCTCCCTACTCCCCTTGCTTGGTCTTGTCTCTTCCTGGGCTTTGAGTGAAGTCTCCCTCTTCCTCACTTCCAACTCCCTTCTCTTCCATTTCATAGAGGTACTCCAGAGTTTTTCAGTTATCTTTCAAGAGTAGAAATGGAAAGGTTTTCTCCATTCTGCCATTTTTCCTGATAAAAGTCCAAGACCTAGTTACACATAACGTATTAGCACAGTTAACCCTTTAATGTGCTTAGTTTGCAGTCTTGTCTTTATCTCTCTGATTGTACTCCTTTTTTCCAGTTATGGCAGGGTGTACACAGCCGACCCCTACCATGCCCTTGCCCCTGCCGCTAGCTATGGAGTTGGCGCTGTGGTAAGTATACACATATCTTTTTGCTTAAACCTTTTTACTCCTCCTAACCTTTACCTACAGACTGTAGAAGATCTAGGGAAGGGATAAATTCAGCCTTTTGTGGATTGCCAACATGTTAAAACCAGATAGGTCTCCCCCATCTTTATTGTGTGCTACAGTATCAGCCAAGTGGCCTGTAAGGGCAGCAGAAAGGTATGGGTAGTGACAATCCGCCCTGAGTAATGACATCATTTAGGAGAGGAGTAAGGGGATAGATTGATGTTTTACATCAGTTCCGATGTTGGGTGCACACCAGTGGCATGGTATAATTGATAGGTATCGGCAGATTCCTATCTGGGAATATAAGGCTCTTGGTTTTCACAGTAAGCTTTCCAAAAACCTTCATGTATATAAGTATTAAATTGTAGATGCCAAAGTCCTGTGCTATTCCTAAACCTGATTGGTAGTAGTACGAGTGCCAAATGAATACTTTATGAAGATATTTTATCTACAACTGTTGTGGCAAAATCTGGTGTCTGTATTGAAATATAGAAGTCCATAGAGCTTGTCTGAAGTAGTCCACTCTGACCAGAGCCCTCACTACCTATTCTCATGTTGGCTCGGAGCCAAGCCCGTCATGCTGGTGACTAGTACCCACTGGTGACAACAGAAGACAGTCCACAGTGACACTCCTAATGCCAGGCGCTTTGCCCAGTTCCACCATCGCCTGTGAAGGCGGGCACAGTTACTCATATGGGGGGCAGAATGAAGTGTGAAGTGTGAAGTGTTGTGAGTGTCATTTCTCACTCTGAATTACTGCTGATGCAGGTTTGGGGAAGTAGTAGGATCCTTAAGGACTGTATGTTTAGATTGAGGTCAAGACAACAATATAAAGACAGTGATGGAGGTTCCTGAGGTCTTACTAAGTGTCAAATTATAAAACTGCTATTCTAAAAGAAAGACCCAAAAAAGATACATTCCTGAGGAACTTGTCGTTTAAACAGGTAAGCCATCAGGTAAAGCTACTTGGTAAAGAAACAGCCTAATTGATATACAGTCAGTCCTTTCTGTCTATGGTTTCCACATCTGTAGATGCATCTGAAATATTAGGGGAGGTGTCTATAAGAATGTGCACAGGTTTATACCCTTTTCATTATTTCATAAACAATATAGTATGTCAGTGATGTATGTAGCATTTATAGTGTATTGAGTATTACAGGTAACCTACAGATGATTTAAACTGTATGTGAGGGGATATGCATTATGTGCAAATACTAAATAAGCCATTTAATATCAAGAACTAGAGTGTCCATAGGTTTTGGTGTCTGTGAGAAGTCCTAGGAAATTGATACCCCAAAGATCCTAAGAAACAACTGTATTTTATAGCATCAGTTTTACTAGTTGAAAGGTTTACAAGGGCTTAACTGCAGCATCATCTCAAACGCAACACGAGAATTGACCCTTACGTCATATATAAGAAGGAGAAATCAGCAGTCTCCTCTCAGTCAGGATTATAATGATGTATGAAGGTGAACAAAGACTCGTGCTTGAGAAAACCATTCTAATTGCAGAATGATTTAAACTGTCTTAGGTTTCCCTCCTGTGTCAATCCATGTAAATCATGAAGTAACCCCCATCACACCGCCCCAGAGACCGGCAGCTCAGCAGTGTGTGCGTGGCTCTAGTCTGGGCATCAGAGGCAGAAGCTGGTTTCCTAACTTCGGTACATCAGGCAGCCTCTGATCAGTTGCTGTGAGGTGTCAAAGGAAGCTGTTTCCCCACATCCTTTCTCAGGACTTGTGTCTTCATTCTTAGTGCTTCACTCATCAACCTTTTAATTATTTTTATGTCTTCCATTACTGCAGGCGAGTTTATACCGAGGTGGCTACAGCCGATTTGCCCCCTACTGAAGTGACGTGAGACCGCTGCAAATGGGACAGCCCCCAGTCATGAGGCCTGGCTATTGCAATATTTACTAGTAGAGGAACTCTATAGCAAGATGAAGAGGAAAAACAAACAAACAAAAAAAAAAACCACAAAAAAAGAGAGAATACTTTTTTATACCTCACTATGTTCTTTGAATATGTATTTTTCCTTTAAATTTTCTGCCTTTAATTCTTTTGTTCCAAAGATTGTGCATTTTTGCTTTTTTTCCCTTTTTTTTAACTGTGGTAAAAAAAAAAAAAAAAAAAAAGATAATGCATTTCCATGTCTGTATGTCCATGCTTAGCTTACTCTGTCAATCTTGGAAGAGGCAGTTAATGAGGAAGGAGAGATATTAGTAGCTGATAAATGCATCTGATCAGAAATCAGCAGACAGAATTACCAAAGTGTATCTGGTGCTGAGTGGCTAGGGGAGGACGAGCAGAGGTAGAAGAGCTCTTTCTGCAACAGCATATTCTGTAGTCTTCTGAATTTCTGATCTTAGGCAGGTGGTTCTGATTGGGTGTGGCTGGAATCCACATGCCAATAGATAGGAATTTGTGTTTGCTAAGCAGGGGAATTAAAAAAACACTTTCCTCTCCTCTTCCCACCTGTCTTCTCCATACGTTCTACAGTCATCTTAATACATACAGCCTGAAACGATTGGCATCCCTTTTGGAATTACAGTATTGATATTTCCAGACATGCTCTCAGGCTGAGTAATAAACACCTCATTAGGAAGTCGATCTCAGAATGAGTTCTGGAGTATGAAAACACTTGTTTCTTTTCTTCCCTGTAACCTAGCATTCCTGTTGGGCTTCTGATCCCCTTTAATTGTACCACAGCTTAGCTCATGTATTCTTTTATTCATATGCTGCTCCCATGTCCTCAAGATTCAGGAATTTAGGACCCAGGGACAGAAGAATGAATAGCCAGTGGCCAGATTTCCTCCAGGTATCTGGGGACAGCTTGAGGATTAAAAGTACAAAGTGTTTAGAGCCATTAGAGAGGCTGCAGAAGAGAAGAGGAATACTGGAAGGCCTGATATTCCTTATGTCAGAAAGTAGTACAAACAAACTATTAAAAACCTAGTAATCTGTTAGGGAAAGATAAGGCACCATGCGCAGGGGTCAGCTATTCCTGCAAGTTTTGGTAATGAGGACATGTGAGGGCAATCCGGGGCACTGTGTACTTGCTCCAAAGCCATAGGAATTTTCATCTTCCAGAGCCTCTGTGAGTTACGTTTCTACCCAGTCTCCAGCCCTCATGACCATTGCACACAGCTTCTCATTATCTTCCAAAGACACCCAGCTGAGCACCTGGACTACCTGGTGCATGTTAACACTATAGGACATGAACGCCAGAGCCCATATTGAGAGGAGGATGTGACGTGGCCAGGATCTTCCTGCAGGGCCACAACAGTGAGTCACTGTTCTTGCTGTCGGGCTTTGGTTTTATTTTACCAAGGTCAGGGAGAAAGTAGTTCTCTTTCAACTCTTAGATGTATCTGATAGAAACAAGTGTCCTACAGCATTTCCAAAAAAGAAGGCATTAGGAAGTAGACAAGCCTGGTCTGCTTGGCTCCCTGGTCAGTTCACATTGGTACTGGAGTGACCTTTTACCCAAAGTATAGCTGCTAAACGGAGTAATTCAGAGACATGGAGATTCTGCTTTGTTGTGGGCTTGGTTTGGGTTTGGTTTTTCACTGCTGCCTCCACACGTGTTCTTGACTGAAAACATTCGTGTCCCTGAATTAAAATGGCCAATGTATATGTGACAGCATCAAGCATTCTTTGTAAGCAGAGTGGTGTATCTGGGAGAGCACTGGCCTGTGCTGTGTGACACATACCCTCTCCCCTTCAGAGCCTCTGTCCTCATACCCAGGGGAGAGGATGTGGGTGAAGTAAAGGGAGATGTCAAGGAAGCTAGAGGCCTCGATGCAATCATTGATCCTGGGGGGAATACACAGAACAAGGACAACCTGCCCAGTCCTTTGGCTGTTTATACAGTCCCTTTCCCCAAACCAAAGTTTGGTTTGTTGCTGTTAAGACAGTTTTTGTTATATGTATATAAATATTTTAGGGGAGGAGGGATAGGATGTGGAGCTTTCACAGTTCTAGGGAATGGGGGCAGGGAGGATTTTTTTCTTCGTTTCTTTTGCTTTCATATTGAGGGAGAACTTTTACTCACAAAGAAACAGACATTTTGGTCATGTCCAATAAAGGCCATTCTTACAAATGACAAGCCACTCAACCCAGTGAAAACTAGGCGAAATCCTAAATGGTTGTATCCACAGCAGGGGAGGAGAACAGGGGAATGAGTGTAAGAATATTTTCCGTCTTTTTTCCTAGACAGAAATAAGGATGATGGGCAAGACAGAGAAGGCAGAGTCCCACAGTCCTTCCAAGCAGGGAGGTGCTGGAGCTTGAGGTACCTTTTGTGCTCTTCAGTTCAGCTGGTTCTGGCTGAGGCCTCCAAGGCAAGCTCTGCTTTCCAGTAGGTTCTGCTGCATCTCCCAGAATGCTTTGTAATGCCACTTCCTCCAGCTCCCTTTTCTAGGAAAGATTAAATGGGGTTCTACTCTTTATGAAAAGGTATTTGGTTTTCAGGGTCAGTGCTGAGAATTGGGACTCTCCTAAGCATCTAGAGTTCATGATATCAACCTCCCCATTAACTCTGAACTTTGAGATCCCTTACAGTCAACGTCACGAGAGGCGTGTTCCTCAGAGCAGCAATGCTAGTGTACTCTGGTTCTTACTGGGTTCAGAAACAGAGTCAGAGGAGTGTGGTATTTTGTGAGTTCATTCAAGAATGCTGGTTGGTATTTCCAAAACACTTAGTGATGCTGAATCACAGTACATGAATGAATTTGTTCAGCTTTACTGTTGTTCACGACCTGGACTTTCTGCTGAGCACCTTACTCTTAGAAGCTGGTCTCCTTTAAGGAGACCTCTAGTGAAAACCTTTATCTGAATACTCCTCTTTTAGCCCAGAGAGCTGCCCTTAGGTCTTCTCCAGAATTCCATGTGTTACTTAGATTAACTCCCATGAACTCAGATCCACCATTGTGATTCACCATTTTTAAGGCTCTCAGGTTTAACAAAACGTATCACCATCATCCTCCAGCAGACTGGGACTCAGCTTTTAGTTTGAGGAGAGCTCATGGCGATCTAGTCAACAGAAATCAACAATAACAGCTTTTCCTCTCATGTGGACTCCTCAGGGGCCGAATAGCTCCTAGTTTAGGTTATCCTTTGCTAGAGATGTAGCAGATAAGCTGGCTGTCGCCACTCTTAGGCCTGCCCATGTAGCTTCCAGATATGAGGGACTGTCAGGCAGGGATGGAAGCAGCCCTAAAGATACGATAACCCCTTTCCCTTCTGCAGGAGCACAAGGCCGGCCAAGGGGTAGTCTGGAAAGCACTAAGACACTTACGGAAGAAGAGGGAAACTACCTGGTGAACCTTCCCCTGTAGCCCAGTGCAGCCTGTTCTCTGCTACTCGCAACCCTCTAGCACAGTAACGTTTGCAGAATTGTGGATTTTTTTCCCCCGCAGATACTAGGAGGAAAGGGATTTGGGGGTGGGGTGGGGAAGGGGTTGTGGTGTTTTAAAAGCATAAGTTACCTGTTTGCACTGTTTTAAGATAGGAAAAAATAGTGGGCAAGGTGAGCATCCAATGTAAGCTTGTGTGTTTTATTTTGTCATGCTCTTGAAAATGTCTAACATTTGTAGTATACACCAGTGACACTTGATTCTCTGTTGCATAAAACACTATATTTTTTTTGGAAATGTTACTGTCCAAAAGCCTCTTTCCTTCCTTTCCTTTGCCTACGTACTTCACCCTTGCTTTACTGATCAGCCAGGCAATAGCCATGCACGAGCTAGAGCGTGAAATAGGGCCCTTTTCAAGCAGGCTCTGGGTGTCCTAAGCCAGCGTGTGTCCTCTGGGTTACCGAGTATGGTAGAGTCCCTGGCACCTGTCTTTGAAAACAAGACTCACAGACCAGACTACAGCAAGCCGTCACATTCCTCAGTGAGACACTAGGAATGCAGCGCCAAGGAATGGAGGGGTTCCTGAAGTATCGCAGTTGGCTGTAGTAGCCGAGTTCTTATCCACGTTACCGAAACTGTAGCCAGTTACAGTTTACTCAGGAAACGGTAGCTCATTCAGCCATGGTAGTGCTGGTTGGCAGGGATTGGTAACTGAGAGAACTGCTCATCAGCCAAAACTCAAACCTTGCTTGTAAGGAGACCATCAGCGTTGGGACGTGGTCCTCTTTGTCTGGTGGTCACATACATGCCGGTGACGCGAAGGCTGCACTCACCTTGGCAGACAAAGGGAACAGCAATGCTCTTTTCTCCCCCACCCCTTCCCGTTACCAACACTAGATTTCTGGGGTGGCTACAGGAGTTTTTGAGGTTTTTTTCAAAACCTGATTTTTGGTTTGGTTACTCTGGAGACTGACAAGTGCTTTAAGCAGTGTCTATACCCCACCAAGACTCCCAGCTTGGTCATTCTTTTTTTTTTTTGTATTTAATGTTCACAGTATTTGTGTGTGCTTGTTTTGGCGGCTCATTTTGGCTAATATATATATATATATCGAGTGATGAATTGATCTTTTTTTTTCCCCGGGAGACATGAGTTTTTCTTTTTTACTTTGTGTTATCATTCTGCTTGTGAATAGCTGGAGCCACGCTGGGGCTGACACGTAAGCTAGGGCTGCAAAGTGAGAAGAGAGCCAGCGGAGTTCACTTGTCCTTGACGGGCTGACTGACCTGTGACTCTGAACTTTTCAGTCCCAATCTTTGCAAGGCTCAAAATGCCGCAGAACCTCTCCTCTCCTCCCTACCCCCATGGCAGGGACTGGGCCAACCCAACAGGCAACCTGCAATTTCTCTGGCCCCTCCCGTTGCCGTGGCAGCACAGGTACCTTTGGGGCACGGGGGCATCCCATGGGATGCTTGTACAATTGACCACCTCGCCTTCGCCCTCCCCATCCTGTCCTCCCCAGAATCACTTCCTAGGACACCCGAGCTGCTTGCCCAGGGTCCTGTTTCCCTGCTAACTCCAGAGAAACATCCCAGGGCTTTGTGACAGTCTCTAATTCCTTTCCCTTCTCGTTAAGAATCATATTGTATAGTAGCTTTCAGACCATACAGTATTCATTGGGTTATTCCTATTATTATCAAGTAGCTGGAATTGTGAAGGTCGGAGTAGTTAGATCTTTAGCTTTTATTCCTTATTTTTTTTTTGTATTACTCTCCATGTGTATAAATTATTGATCATGTTGCTGGCTTTTATAAACTCTAAGCAAAGGAGGAGCACTGCCTCAGCCTTTGCCAATGGTAATGAAGCACTGTTTTTAAATAAAAGAGAGAAACACCATTCTTTGGCCTGTGTGTATTAATCCTTATTCCCTGTCACCTCCACCTGGGGCTCAAAGTGCATTTTGTATTTGACTTCTTAAAATGGGGGGGAGGAGGAAACCCATAGCACTCCCCAAGGAGGACCTTGAGTTACGGGCTGTGCGACAGCTGGGGCCAGCAGCCAGAGCTGTGTACAGAGCCCCCTGGCTCCTCCTGCCCCTGAGGTCTCCTTTCATTTAACCTCTCACTTGCCATCCTTCTCTGAACTCTGGCTGCTGCCCCCACCATACATCAGACCAGGGTCCATTGCCAGCTGGACCTTTGCAAGGAGCCTGCGCTGTCCCTTCGTCCTCATCCCCAGACCTGGTGCGACTGGACTTAATTTTCCACTTCCTGTAGGAAATGCACCCTGCTAGTCTGTTCTCACCTGTGCTTTCAGCCATCCCTTGCTTCACTGGTCTTTCAGCCAACCGTTCCCTAATGTCTGAAAGTTCCATCGTGTGCATTCTCCACATATTTCCCAGCTCCCTTCACTTAACCCTGTGGGATCACCGCGCTTCCTGTTTCATGGAGAATGGGCCGGCAGACAGGCTGTCTGAATGATGGCCCACAAATCTGTGATGCTGATTTCACTCCTTCCTGTTCTCCCGTGTGAATGGGAGAGGCCTTCGCCTCACAGGTGAACCGCATCCCTTTGCCTCTCACCTCCCCGCTTTCTCAGTCATGGTGCTTGGCTTCCCTTCAATAGTTAAACCTTTCTAGAGTTCCTTGGGGCTAAGTCTTCCTTAAACTTCTGAATGTTCTTGCAAGGTCCCAAGTTTTCTCCGTCATGGCAAACTTGTGGAACAAGTATGCTGAGTCCCAACTACCTGTCCTCGCCTTGCTGCGTCCTGGCTTCTGCCTCCAGCACGTGGAAGCAGCCCCTTGTGATAGCTAACAGATCCTTCTCTGCCTGCCTGCTTGGTGATGCGTATTATGGAGGCCCCTGCGCATGTCAGGACCACTAAAGCCTGAGGTAGTGAGGACTCCATGCTGCCGCACAGCATGTGCCTTGTCTGTCCCTCTCTAAACTGACTCCCTGCCACCTTTTCTCAAGAGCCCCACCTGCTATAAAAGAGGTGCATTCCCTCAGCTAAAGTGCAGGCCCACTGCAAGCACAGCATAAATCCAGGTCCAGGAGACTTGGAGCGCCACGGAACCATCCCCTATGCTGCTGTTCATGTCACTCGCTGAGCTATGAGATATAAAGCTCTTTGTCTCTGGCCCGGACTTGTACCTTCCACCAGGACCCATGAAACAGGAAGAGGCTCATGTCTTTGCTTCTAGGGAAGGAGAAAACTGGTCTTGGACCTGACAGTGTTGCTAGCCCCATAGTAGAAGCTGAGAAGGGCTTTGTCCCAAGTTACAAAGGAAGTGGC